TATCACCTTGGTTTTTTTTTTGTTCGGGATTTAAAAAGTTACAATTATAGTGTATTTTAGTTCGTTCATCGCATCCTGCTTATCAGAGATGGGCAAAATGGATTAAATCTGGATTTCGGAAAATGGCTTACGAATTACTCGTAATCCAGGAATAATAAAAATTGGACTACATTTATTTTTCTAATATATTTTTGTTGTTCGCTTATCGCATGAAAAAATGCGTAAGTGTAAATTAACATGCGAAATATTTTTTTTTTTACAAAATTGAAAAAAAACCAACCTCTAACCATCTAAACAAAGGGTTAATTTTTTTAAAAACGTTATATTTGGATGGATTATTTTATATTCAACTACCTGACCTATTGGAATAATGGATAATTTGTAATTCATTAATCCGTCATATTGGAATAACGGATTATTCGTAATTCAAAAATAATCCAGTTATCCGGTACTACTTGTATTCCACGATGGTATAATTTTATTCCGTATTGGATTATTTGTAATTCATAATTCTGACGTATTGGAATAACGGATTATTTTTAATCCAAGTAATCCGGGATTAATAATCCTGCACATCTCTGCTGATAACTAACCATTTTACCTAAAATCGTAATGATTATTTAAAATTGTAATCAAAACAAAACGCATACTGTGTCCAATACTTCATTGATATTTTACTAAGAATACTTCTGCTGAATACGATAAATATTAACTGTTTATTACTAAATTATTATTCCTAACAGATAATGAAATTTAAAATGGTCTAAAGGTCATTAGGACTAAAACCTATTTAGGTTATATTATGTATAATACTAAGTCGTGCATTATGCAGTTAATAAGTATAAATGTACCTTATGTGCTAAAATTATTATTAATTAATAATTCATATAAAAGATATTTAAACACAAAGGAGTAGTGGTGCCCCTTTTCTGCAACAACACTAAGTATGTTATTTAAACACATTACATTTTCGGTTTTGATAATTACTGATAAATATTACTAAACATTAAATATTTATGTTGTGTAATCTAATATTAAGGGGGACGTAAAGCGCCAAAATTTGTACAAATAAAAACTAAATCGCGAAGTCATTTCTGAAGTGCCTACCAAACTGATTTAAAACGTTTTTTTTATTTTTGTTTTTAAAATTTGATTATAAGCGTTTATACTTTACTTTTTTGTAGTTTTTTTTCTAATAAATCTATTTAATTGTTTAACGGTTAGCTAAATCAAAAACAGTTCTTTAGCCCCTGTAAAGTAAATAGTAAGCTTCACCTAAAAAATTTAACTCCAATAGAGCCAATAATATGCCAATTTGTCTGCGTATTTAAAATAGCTACTAGATGATTTTTTGTCAAATATTGTCTATTCCTCTGCCCCTTAATAAATGCCCACTTTTCCATTTTCTTATTATACCACTCCGGCAATTTCTAATAAGCACAGTTAGAATACGGATTACTGAAATAAATGTATATGTCTTTAAGTTATAACCTTTAATTCAGTGTTATAATAATATAATATTCCACATTGTTCCAACTAAGCTCTTCTACTACAAATTAAAAAGTCGTATCGAGTATGCGTTATACAAAATTTACAAATGTTACGAATGTTCTTGAAGCTTGGCCTATTGAGTCATATTGAATTTCTAAATGATTTTGGTTTCATATATCATTTCCTAGTATTGTGTTATATTTGTCTTAATAATATTATAAGCACGCCCAGTTTATAATCAAATAACAATTATTACAATATTAGTTTTGGTTTAATTCATTGTTACGAGTAAATAGTAATATTCATAAGTCATAACTTTGAAGTTTACACTTAACATTAATTATTTTAATTTTTAAATGTTAATACCGTTAAGTTTATAAATATATACTTGATGTGTATATTTTTAATTTTAAATTTTTTCCGCACGTTTAATTGATAGTTTAAGCCTTTAGTTATAATATATACTAATATAATAGATATGCTATGTGTACATATATTTTTAAAATATATGTATTTTATTTTTGTAAATAAAACGCGATGCTTTTATCACTTTACAACAATATTAAATACTTTATCAAGATAAAAAAAACTACTATTTGTATATATATATATGTGTTTTTTTTTATATGTTTACTGTTATTACGTAACGATTATGCTGATGAGGTAAGCTAGACATTGCTTTATGTTATAAAAGTTAGAAGACAAGAATTCTATAATTTAGGTATTTTATAATAATACAATGTATTATGTCATAAATAAACATAAAATATAAATACATCAATGGTAAACTTGTGGAACAGTCGAGGTTATAACTCCTCAAAAATTGTTTTTTTTAGTGAATTTAACCTCATATTATTAATTGAAATATTGTATTTTTAATTTCTTAACCCAAGTGTTCAAATAAGGAGACAGAAATCAACGAACACAATTTGACAAGCTGCCTAACCAGATTTTAGAAAACCAACTTTTTTAAACAAAATTGTTTATATTTTTATTGTATTTTGTCAAAGACGTAAATAATGCTTGTTGTATTACATTTTAAATACGAATTACCATTTACCTATTGAACACCGCATATCCATTATAATGGACAATATTTGTATTTTTTAAATGTTTGTTATTTAGAGTTATCTAATAGATTGTAGGTACCAATCTCGAAACAAACATGCGTCTCGGATTTCCATAAAATCGTGACCACCGTTGTTTTGATATCATTATTTTTTTTTTCGAATCGATAGTACTTACTTTTCATGCCGATTACGAATCTGCAAACATTTGGCGACGCTCACACTTACAATTATTTATAAATTATCTATTTTACCTATTACCTATTTGTGTACTCTGGTCACACGTGGCTGGCCGGTTTGGTGCGTTTCAGTCTCTGCGCAGATATCTTCTTAAAGTATAGCTCTAGCGCCTGACCTTACGCCGTTCTCATTGGTCAGTTTAAAATTCGCGCCAACTTTTTTGTATTAGCGGGCGGCAGGTCACCGAATGTTGGGCACTGGCTCGACCCCGTCGCTACACTATAAGTATCCTAGGTTTTCAAGACACAGTTTTGGCGCAGGTCACAGGTTAAATTTAAGAAATTAATATACGATTACAATTTTCGAGAGGGTAGGGAAAAAATGACCACAAAAGGCGGCAGTAAGCAGTTACCGTCACAATGTAAATGCCGCAAACGCGTATATCAGTAGGTATTTTGCGCGTATGGGCAAAAATTAAACAACCACGGAGTGGCAATTACGCGTGACCTTTAAATGTCTGTACCTTCAAACTAAGTGCGAGCGGTGCAAAATGTTTGCAGATTTGTAATTAGTATTCAGCATGAGAAGTACTATCGATTCGAAGAAAAAAACGATGTCCGGTAAATAAGATTTATACCGTGGTTTACTATGGTAATAATCAATATAACCCGATTGGGTTCATTATTCCTGGGAATTCTTTTCCAGGAATCATTCTGTAAATTCAAGTGTAATATTTTATCTCAATACTCGCTACTAATCACGAGAACTATATTATATGCATCTCTGGGAAATATGCATCTTTGTTTGAGTAATTAAATTATACAATATTATTTAGTTAATGCATCGTCCGCGGTGGGTCAATCCGTCAATGTCGGAATTTTAATCAACGCAATTAGCCAAGGTTATACATAATATACTTTATAGTACGGCTAGACTCTTCTTTTGTGATTAAGACCTGACGAAATCAAATTGTATTGCTTATGCCGTCAGCAAACAATATCTGTGCGATCTATAGTAAGGAGATTGCATGCGGTCTATTTTTAAGGATTTGCATAGGCAATATTTAAGAAAAAAATGGTTTCAATAAATTTCAACCATGTCAATTAATTTACCGGTTAATTAATAATTTGTAAAAGCTTCAAGGTATTATTTTCAATATAAATATTTTTTTCTATGTGTAACAGTCATTTTGGTTTATTTTAGACCAAAAAGATCCGATTTCAATTCTATAAAGAGATTCGATTTCTTTGGCTACTGTACAATGTTATGTAGGAAGCCGATTTTCATTTAAAAATTTCAGTTTTTCGAAGTAAATGAAACAAAATTTGAAATTTTTTCAATATTAAAACCCAACTTTTTACAATAAAAAAGCAAAAATCAAAATCTGTTTCTTACACAATTTAGTAAAGTTACCTAAGAACTCGTATATCTTTGCAGAATTTAAATGAGACCACCCTAAGTATTTGAAATTTTGTCTGGTTTTTGGTCTAAAGCGTCAAAAAAAAACAGACCGCATGCAATCCCCTTAATATGTTAGCCCGATTGCGATTTTTTTATGACCCATATAATATACTGGTCCTAGCCCATGTGGTTTTATAAATCCACCTTGCTGATAGGTATAGTTTATTGATACCATAGACATGATAATATTGGACCACGTATATCGGCGACTAAAACTGAATATATTTCACATGATATGGTAGACAGAGCTAGCTTGGACTAATTGATAATATTTAAAGACGCCCGAAAATAATTATTACTTTTGTCTTTCTAGACCTAACAATGTTAGGCTAACGTCTTGGTAAGATAATTAGGTTTCCATGCGCGATATTAATACTGTTCGCAACGTCAATAGTTCTGTGGGTTTTACCGACGGTGACAAGCTCCGACTATAGACTAACTTGTTACTCTACGATGGTAAACTAATTACCATCCGTAGTTACTTTGGCTCGGACGCGATAATTAATGGATATTTAAATTAAAAATGATTATTTGTTTAAATATTGGCAATGGATTTTATGTTTGTGAGTCGCTGCTGTCGATGGTCGAAATTATTGTAAATATAGAGAGAATAACAAGATAAGACTGGAATTGCGTGACAATCGACAACACTACAATAAACAATATTATATTATTGTAGCAGTAGGTAAAAAAATTGTTGTATACACAAATCAAATTGGAGTGCATCGTGGTGGGGTGGCACGTGTTGTGGACCGGTGTAAAAGAACGGTAAGCGGTCGCCGAACACCAGTAACCGTCTGGACGTCGACCGTTGACGACAGTCTGGTTAATGATTTTACATTGGCTCAAAAGAAATTACATAATTCGTAGATAAATATAATTTCATTGTTGGCGAATTACTTAACTTTTCGATTTCGACTCATCAAAAGTAACCAAACACGAATTCGTCTCGATCGGTACGTTCCGTCCAACATTAAGAGCGCAAAGGTTGTCCACATCAACCAACAGTAGTTAACGCTGAAAATTCCGAACACTCGTCCGTCAAAATGGTCAACAAAGACGTTAAACACAACATGAACGTGTCATTTTCCGGTTGCGGTTTCTTGGGCATCTATCACATTGGAGTGGCCTCTTGCTTGAAAACGTACGCGCCTTACCTGCTGGAGAACAAACTCTGCGGGTCTTCGGCAGGTGCCCTTGCGGCCTGCTGCTTGCTTTGCGATCTACCTCTCGGTGAGTTTCAAAATAGCTGGCCTGAATTTTTTATAACGTTTTTCTTAGTAAGCCAATACATTTTCCTTCAGCTTATGAAAAGGTTAGGACCTTTTCATGTGGTCCTATTATGGTCCCTAAGTACGACGCAGGTGGCGTTGACAGATCACTCTGTGACGTTATATTAATATTATTGACGTTATAAAATTATTGTAATAACGTAATGCCAATAGCCTAACTTTTCGAGATTAAAGTGATTATTATCTACTATCTAGTAACCGAAAATGATTGTGTCTAATTTTTCTAAATTATTTTACCTATTTTATTTTTTTTAACAAATTACCATACACCTGATGGTACATTAATGTCTATGCAAATTACAAAAAAGTACAATATTGAAAACATTGAATTTTTGCACACTGCGAAAACTGGTAGACGTTGATATGTACGTCTGTGATTTTTAAATTAATCTTATCTTGTCATACTTTAAACCATGACCTAGTTCGTTCTAAAAACGTTTAGTTAATTACATCATTCTATTTAGCTTCGATGCGTAGCTGAGAAGGTATTGTTTGTACAATGATGTGTTTTTATTATTGTTATTTTTTGCGTGTGGAGCCACGATATTTTCTTAACCATTAAACCAATTTCTTCATGCAGTAACTCTAGTCTCTATTCATCAGAAATCGTTTCTGAAAGGTACTTTATTAAGCCTAAACGTTTACCCCTTCCCATTCAAAATCGTAAAAAACACTAAAGAAATGTACATATTTTTCAATTAAGGCTACGGCGCTCTATAACTTTTTTTAAAATAGTCAAGTTAGTTCTAAATAGGTATAGACTATGGAATATTCTTTTGAAACGTATTATCGATAAACGTCGACAAAAACCCTTTCCTCTAGAAGAGACAATTTAAAAAAAAAAAATTACTACAAAAATTTCACATTAAAAAAAAAGTTATAATATTTCTTATAGCAAAAATTAATACATTATCCTATTTATAAATGGGTATTATGGATAATTTATGAATTTGTAATTATCTCGTTTTGCGATTGAAGAATAATAATTTGATGGTGTAGGTTGTATTTAAAAAATAAAAGAGTTCACACGTCATCTTACCGAATAATAGTATGAAATATGAATACCGGTATAAAGTAAATAGTGTAATAAGTACCACTGGTGAATACAATGAACTCTGTTTATTTTAAATACAATTGACACCAACATTATCATGCTTCCCATATTACCCATGTATATATTATATTTATTTAATAATAGAATGTTGTAGAGGTAGGGCGTATTGCGTAGGCTGTATTGAATGATAAAAAGATTAAGGAAAATTTATCACTGGTCAATTATTTACTTTTACTCTGTTATGTTAACCGTTGACACAGTAAAGAATTTTCGAGAAATTGACATTGTAATCACGATTTACGGGTCGAAATCGACGATACGATATCAAACCTAATATAATGTCTACACAGTGAGTGTTATAACTTATAATACATAAATAGCAATGATAGCTTAAAAATGTCGGTATACCGAACTTATCCAATTTCCCGTTATTATTTATTTTCATAGGTCATGTATGTTCATTGTAGTATTTTATTACCAAATATAAACTAGCATTTATGTTATTCGTTTTGCGACCTTGGTGTATATTGTTTTTGCGATACGACGCGACGTTTGTATAGTTATTAGTCTTATAAAAAAATAGATTTTCTTGATTACAAATACAGAGTATGTAATATCATAGAGTTAAGAGTATATTATAAATATATATATTGTATACTCAATGGTAGTATGAAAACTAAAATCTACACAAACAAAACGTCAAAAAAGCATTGTTGCAAATCAACTCCGCAAATAATTATTATGCTCCATTTATTAAGTATTATTATGACTCGTCTACTGTTCGACGATGATTTAAATATCGTGTAGGTAGTCTTTTTTACCTTGTTATGTTTGACTCATTATAATTTTTAACTTGCTGCGTACCTACATCTTTGACCCTTGTCTACTGTCCTAATTAAACAGGCAGCAAATGACAAGAACATTCCGCTATATCCTCAAGCGTTAACCGATTACTTATGAATTAATATGCTTTATTTTAGCTTACTATTGTGATTGCGTTAAACTTACGAAAAACCATTACAGTAATACAGCAGCTTATTATTAACCCTTAATTTTTAGAAATCATCGCGATCACCACTTAAGGCCAAAATATTGTATGAATGTGATTATTTCTGTGGTGCTCGGGTACAAGGTCTTATGTTCAAAATAACTAATTTTAGTAAAATGAATTTAAAAATTTGAATAAAACTTGTTAAGAAAAATATTTGTATTTAAATACTTTTGCATTAAACATAAAAATGCATAACTAGTTGCATGAAATACTTTCATATGAGAAAAAAAAATCATCCCTTATAATATATTCAACCTTGGACTTAAGACCTTTTACCCGAACGCCACAGATTTAATCAAATGCATTGTTTTGATTTTAAAATACTCGTAACTCGCTAATTATGGTTTGTTAAGTTGACAGGTAGAAAAAACTATATTACTTTAATTATAAAAACTAAAATTATTGACATTTGATGGAGAAAAAACTAGGGGCGTATGTAAGCTCCACCAGAAAAAAACGTGTCAAATTGGGTATACATATTATGTTAACTCTGCCGGGAAGTTAATACCATATTGGTGTTATTTGTAATAATAATTTATAAATTATGCAAATATGTGTAAATAACATAAACGTAGGAATGCGTAATAAAAATAACACGTAAATAGTAATACTCATTTGTATTTCATCAAGAAACAAATAATTAAATTTAAAAAATGGTTAATCCACTCCTACATTTTTAATGAATGCAATGCAATTTTCATTATTGCATCTCTATTTAATTTCAACGGATGCGTAAGCAACATTCCTGTTGTACTTATAATTATTATATAAAACTAATAAATTGCCTCGTTGGTCTGTTACTCAATTTAATTCAGACATTAAAATTCAACTAAAAATTTACTTGTAATTGGCACTCGGCAGTAATGCAACTTTACAGCGTTGACGAGAAATAACTAATAAAATATATCGTAACTGCTATAAGCCCCAGTATAGGATATTTACCTGTTGGGTATTTCTGTTTGAACTAATACTATAAAAACATCAATAACGTGTATTGCAGTACCAACAGGCCTAATATTCGGATCGGAAATCTCCTTTATTAAAAACAATAGTGGCGGGGTTTACATGTCCAGATAACAGGTATAAAAATAAAACTGCCGGAATTTACATAAGACCTTCTTTTTTAAAATCTTTATTCATTATACTTGTCATTTTGGCAGAGTTTACAATCGCCCAAAACTATAATATAATATATATTTTCATTAATTAATTAATAATAGTTATATGAAAACAATCGATGAATGGGTGTGGTTCAAACCGAGTTTTTAATTTATCATGAGACTTTGGGTTTCGTAATAATAAGAATTTAAATGTGTAAATCATACTATTTAATATAATAAAAAAAAAAATAGTGTCTCATTAAGTTATATGTATGTCCCGTGTTTTTGCCCAACTCGAACTGTATTAAAATTTGAAAACAATATTCGTTCAATTCATTATATATTGAATTTATGTTTGAAAGGAAAATTGTATTTATTTTAATTTTTAATTGCCAAAACTCAAAATGCCTATTTTTTCATTTTACATGTTAAAAATAAAGTTAATTGAATATATTTTCGTCAAGTATAATTTAATAAAAAAGAAATTTTATTACTATATACTAAACATTTTGATTTTGACATTCTAATCAAATTATTCGTCCATTACACATAATATTTATACCTGTGTACAAATTATAATTAAATATTCTTATTCAAAGTTTCTAAACGAAATCTCAAAAATCTGGTTATTTTCAGAGTTAATGACAAGCCATGCCCTGGAAATTGTTAAAGAAGCAAAATCTAAAGCCCTAGGTCCATTCAGTCCATCTATGAATATGTCAGAACATCTTTACAGTCGTTTAAAAGAAGTAAGTAAGTCAGTTTTTTTAACAAGAAATAATAATAATATTTTGTTACCTAGGATTTACCGGATGATGTTCACGAAAGAATCAGTGGCAGACTATTTGTATCATTAACCAGAGTACCAGATGGTAAAAATTTTATCAAGTCAGAATATTCTAGTAAGGAAGAAGTCTTACAAGTAAGCTATCAAAAGTATTATTTTTAATTTTTAAAGAGCTTCATAGAGCTCCATTTAAAAAAGTTAGTATAAGATGCCCTAAGTTTCCTGCTAGAGGTTGATTTCAAGTCCGTAGGCAAACAATATTTGTCATTCCATTACAAGAATCGATCTGGTTCTTAAAGAGCTCCGGATTTTAAATCTCTATAATGGCTGTCAAGAGAAATTGATTAGTACATTTTAAATATTTTACAATTTATTTCCCAACAAATCCCACAAATTGTGTTAAATGTCTGTGCTTAGGGGCAACTGAGTTTTCCTGGGTTGCACAGAGCTTGTTTGTAGCTTTATAGCCCTGGCTATCACTGTAATTCACTTTCATTTTTCTAGAAAAAATAATTTGCCACCAAAGACAGTTTAGTTATCTGTCTATAAATCTTAGTAACTTTGTGTTGTACATAAATAATATATTTATATGTATATACATATTATATATCTAATAATAAATCATTTTGTTTTAGACATTGCTAGCTAGTGCATTTATTCCGGTTTTTTCTGGATTTGTACCACCAATAGTAGATGGGTATAGATGTATTGATGGTGGATTTACTGACAATTTACCAGTTTTAGATGATGACACTATAACTGTATCACCCTTCAGCGGTCTTTCTGATATTTGCCCCCGAGACAATAATGTCCAGAAATACTTGGTAAGTTATGTTGTTCTCAAATAATATGGTTATTTAACTATCAAATAAAAAATACTGTTAAAAATAAATGATACAATACATGTTTGATTGTTTTTTAGGTTAACATAGCAAATACGAGTTTTGAGCTGACTAAATCTAATTGTTTTCGATTAGCCAGGATTATGTTTCCTCCAGAACCAGAAGTTTGTTTTTCTATTTTTATTTTTCATACATGTGTTATTAATTATTATCTTTTTTGGGCTATATTTAATGGAAATATAATATTTTTATTTAATATTTAGTTGCTTTAGGTTATTTTTTAAAGTTTAGTACACTCTCTTTTATGTTATTGTAGTCACTTTGTTATTTATTTATTATTTATAATTAAATTGTAATATTTAACTATATTTTAACATATATTATTATTATTTTAGATGCTTTCACAATTGTGTAATCAAGGTTTTGATGATGCACTTAAGTTTTTGCAAACAAATAACCTTATAAATTGTGAAGTATGCTTAGTTCGACGCTGTTCCTTCAACTTCTCTAAAAACAATAGTGATGAATCATCTGTCTATGATTCATCATGCAAAGATTGCAAATGGAACAACGCTGTATGCTTTATAAAATATAATAGTTTATTTTTCATTTAACAAGGTTATTACCTATCTGTAAACTTGTATATTTTTCAGAGCGCCAAAGTACAAGGGATGCCTTATTCTATTACATATACTTTGGATCGTTATATAGAATCACACAGCAATATCTTTAATTGGGTTTTAAAATCTAAAGGAATAAGATTAATTTCAATGTTCACACTTCCTTATATAGTAGTTACTGATATAGCCTATGCATTTGTTAAAAAGTAAGCATTTTTTGTGATAACTTTAAGGTTATAACGTTTTATAATTTTTATTGTTTTCTAGGGTTATAAGTTCTTCGCAAAATATACAAAGCTGCATGTGGGCTCTATCCAAGTGTGTCATAAATAGCTTGCTGCATTTGGTTGACGTATTTAGTGAAAAAGGTTTAGAGTTTGTCAGCAAAGTATTGTCTTACAGTTATTTATCAATTGAAAAACATGCAAAAGATTCACCATACTACTACTACTACAACGAAAAGCTAGAAGATTTGAAATGCATCAGGTGTTCAAAGAAAACTTTAGAATATTTCAATGATTTCCATCAGGCTACTTCAGCCATAGTCATGTATGTCACTAATGCATTTATTGTATTTATATAATCTACAAAATTGTAATAAGTATTGATTTTTAGAGATGCAACTGGCTATACATCTTCTGAATTTGATTTACATAATCATCAAGTCAAATCAGTTAGATCCAGTACACACTCTACAGTACACTGGTCTCTTTCATTGTCTCCAGAATTTGTTTTGACTACTTCAAAGTAAGTAACTTAATTTTTATTAATCAATAATTATAATTAATTAAAAACAATTTGTTTTAATCGACAGTGAAAGTATAACTGATGAAACAGTAACAACTTCTAATATTGGATCAACTGAAGAACTTAATCAACTCAAATATAATATAGAACATGGTGATGCATTGGAAAAATTTATTGCTAATGTAACCAACGAAGATCAATTATTAGTATACCATTATGAAGAAGATGCAAACAATGTATGCATTATCATTTTCTTATGATTTTAAACGCTTATTTCATTAAAAATTAAAAATTGTTTCTAGATCAACAAAATAGATAATTTAGATGGATCATATCTGTTACACGATGATAAAGGCAAGAGCGAAATTGTTAAAATTGACAGTTTAATAATTTCTGCTCACACTATTCATACTTCTGATAGTAAGTATTTTACCACTATAATTATAGTAAGGAATCAATCATTTATGAATTATCCAAAAATATATTTAATACTTGTATAGCTTTATTAAAAATATTAATTATTTTTAATTTTAAATTCATTACAAGGTAAATGGCAAATAACATTTTCTTTTTTTTTTAGAGTTAATGGATGTAAGCTACATACCGTATTACTGAGATGGAATAATACTGAAAGAGCGTAGTAGTTATTTTTGATGTTTTGTGTACAACAGATGAACACCCAATGTGTATTTACTGTATTAGTTTTTTTTTTTTTTTTACTGTATTAAGTTCTTTATTAATTTTCTTTATATTCAGTTATCTTTCAAGTATAATCTATTTTGACTGATAATTAGAGCATATTACTATTTTAGCTTTATAATTTCAATTTTTGTGTTCTTTTATTGTTTTTGAGTGAATTAAACAGTGTGAGTCGTGACGAATTGTATTTATTATTCTAACAAAACATATTAGTATTCAAATATTGTTAATAGCATTTTATTATTATTTTGTAACTCGTTTTGTTTAAATTATAATTTATAATACTATTAATAGAAGTCTTACTAATAGAACTCCTACAAATAGAAGTATAAGTTATTGTATTTTATATTTTTGATCTCCCAAGTATAATAAAAAGTAAAAATTTAATTTATAACCAACATATTTAAATTTTTTGTGTAATAAAGTATTTTTTTTTTTAATAAAAGGATAAACAAATTTGTGTATATATTTTTAAAGTTTGTATTTTACCGAATATACTTTAATTCGGTATACTTATATACGAGTTTGTGGTACTTACCACAAACTCGTAATCAGTCTGAATTATAAGATACTTTAACACATTAGAATCCTGTTTTACTTTTACAATAGCTTACCTCCTCAGGTTAGGCTGGGGTGAGTCTTTGTAACATGTTTTGCACGAAAAAAAAACTCATGTATCTTTTGTTCTTTCATATAATATTAAAATGCTGAACTTTTTAACCTATTAGTTGATAAACCATTTTTAGATTATAATTAAGTATTGTTAATTGAAAATTAAAATTCATTAATAATAAATATTTTATTTAATATGATTTATGACATAACTAAGATAAGTAATTTAAATTATTCACTAAATTTCAAATATATCAAGTTATTTTAAAAATAATAAAAGAGAAGGAACTGAATACTACAAATTTGAGAAATTAAAATGGGTTAATTCTAAGTAGGGCTTATTTTGTCAGGCTTTAGGTCAAATTGTCCAAAAAAACAGACTGCTTTTCATCCCTGCAAGATTCAACCAGTTAATCCTTTGGTTCGTTGCCAATTTGTGCCAACTTCTTTTCTATAGGTTTCTAAATTAGAAATCCAAATTGAACCTTTTATTTTATAAATTTCTTTTTTGAAACATACAGTGTAATTTTTTTAAACTTAAAAAGGTATAAAACTTATAAAGATGTAAATAATATGAATTCTTTATTAGGTATTATTATTTTTAATACAATAAGCCTCATTGAGTAAGGTATATTATTAACAATAATTTATGCTTTTACCTTTAAAAAAAATTAAGCATAAGGTAAAATTATTTCAGATTTAAGTAACAGTTTAAGCATGGCCACCGAGTACTTGGTTCATTGCACTCATTTCTTTTTTTGTTAAAGGATTTAAAAATAGTCCTTTCACTGGTTCATTGTACTCCATGTCTCTTAGTTTATTTACTTTTATTTTAAGTTCACTGCGTAAGTTATTAATTCGTCCATCTATCGTTAATTGATCTGAAAATATTTGATAGACAATAATTAATAATGTACAAGTATATTAATAAATTATATTTTCTTCATTAAGTTACCTTCTTGTAACATTTCCTTAGCTTTATCATTGGTGACTTTTACTAATATCGGCCCCACAGCTATCCATGTTTTGTTATATGGTGTTTTACTGTTAAGCAATTCTCTGATGGCCATACGATTATCATTTCTTTTTTTATCCAATGCTATTATTTCACTTTTGTCTACTAGTATTTCTTCAGCTTGTTTTTCAACACAAAACAAATATTCCATGGTGTTTTTTTTAAAATCCATATTAATTCTACAAATAATAATGAATATAAATATAATATTATATAATAGAAGTCTCATTTTTTAATTATCATACATTTCTCAAAAAATTACTTTTGTTTATTTTACATAAGCGGAATAAAAAAAAAAAATAAAATCCAAGATTTTATTAGATTGAATTAATATATAAAAAAAAATTATAATAATTAATATTTAAAGTACAAATGTATACATAAATAGTTTTAGTTCTACATATTATATTAAAAAAATAAGTAGATATATGCAATAATTTAATTATTTTCAAGTTTTTCAACTAGTTTTTTTGATAAAGTTTTCATGGTTTTCTCTGCATATTGAACAGCTTTCATTGCTTGTTCCATATTTGGAGGTAGTCCACGGTACTGTTTTTTTTGTTCAGCTGATAACTCTAATACTTTCTTGCTAATTTCAACTTGATTATTTTCCATCTCCGAAATTTTTTTTACTAACTGAATTATATTGTCACAGTTTTGAATATCTTGGAGACTGTTTATTGGTTTAATTTTAATCGTTTCTGCTGTAAAACCAACAGGAACATAATTTATATTGGACAATTCACATTTTAAGTCATTTTGCTGTTCAATTGCTGTTCTTAGTTTTTTTATATTTTCATCTAAAACATCAATACTTAGTTTTTGTCTGTTGCATTTTTCAATCATTGACATATATTTCATAAACAGACTGTTTGAATTGTAGTCATCAATTCCAGTTTGCTGAAGAATTTTTGCAGAAATATCTAAATTTACAATTGTTGGTATGGAATTAACAGAAATCCCCATCTTCTTTTGATAATATGATTGTTCATTATTATTTTCTTCATAGATTTTTAATATTTCAGTAAAATAATCAAAATATTCTCCTTGATTTGGTAGTAATTTTATTAAATAATTAATTTCATTGTACAGCAAACGATTATCTTCACATAATTTGATCTTTTCACTACAAGCTTTAAAATTATTTATAATTGACAGCATTCCTGAATTTAACTTTTCCACATTGACTGATTTTAACTTTACTTCCATAATGATACTCTTTTACTGTCAATAAAAAGTGATAAAATGTGTTAGAAAAAATGAGTATGAATGCAAACTTTTAAGTTTAAAATGAATATAAATTTCAATTTTTTTTTTATATAATATATAATATGTTATGTGGGCTAATTAGGTAAGGTAAGTTATTACATATGTTTTTCTGTGCTTAAGAATAGTAATTTGTTATAAATCAAAGGTAAAACGAATCTATTAGTTTTAGTGCTATGATGTTTTAATTTAAAAAAATGTAAAACTGTTACAAAATTAAAACAAAATAAATCTTGAAAACTAGATTTTTCCTAATTATTTTTAATAAGATTTAAGACTTTTTAAATATTGCCAGGCCGTTTTTTTCACTCCATGTTTATGTGCTTGTTATATTTAAACAGGTCGACCACAGATTTTTTTTTGTTCAAATATTGTTATTTGAACTATACAAGCGACCAAACAAAATCAAGAAACAAAGGCAAAATTTAAAAAAATGTAGATTGTAAATAGAATGACGCCTATATATATAGATTCACATTAAAGCGTTCTTAAAAATTAATCAGAACAGTAAGTGATAAAATTAGATTCTTCCTAAAGATCTGTGACCTCCATGATCCCATTACCTAGGCTAAAACTCCGCAGTACTATGGTAACTACATATAGAGATTGATTAATAGATCAATAATAATTCGTTTTAGTTATTTGTGCATGAATATTTTTATGAATTAATAATTAAATTACCATTGTAAAATAAACTGCAATTGTTAGGAAATGTATAACAAATAATTACCTAGTATAGAGCTAAAAAAATAACAAAAAATTTGGCTTACCCACAAACACTTCTTTATCACACTAAAAATTAACTAAATTATTGTAATAACATTAATTTATTTTATAACCTATGCAGCATATGTCATTTTTTAAATAGTAGTAATACATTTCTAATTGGTTGTACAACTAAGTAGGTAATCAAAAGTAATTAAACAATAAAAAAGATGTAACGAATTTTCTAATTTCTTAATTAAGAAAGAGTAATACTTACAAAACAGAGCTAAATAATTCAGGTATTAAAAAATCCAAATGACTTATTGAAATAAATCAATGAAAACAAAAAAAATGTACAGAGTAATTATTCAATTTATATTATGTAACTTAAAAATTAATCAGCGTTAAGCATACTGCATACTATAGACTTCAATTTGAAATTTGAATTAGCCACTAGCCAGCGACCAGCGTCCTATCATTTATATATTATTATTTTTTGGACACAATAGATAGTAGACCATATCAAAAGATCTTATCACTTGTTAACTTTTTGTAATAACTTTGATGTTATCTTTTTTTACATATTAATATTATTGGTAATATAATAATAGTAAATAATATAGTATAATATTATTATTAGTAATTACTCAAAAATATTATACCCTCAGTGCAGAATCTCGAGATTCTCGACGCTCCCGTTTAATTGAGGGGGAAACGCTTACGGAATTCACCACTCTATTGTTGAGCGCTACTATAGCAAAACGTTTTTATAGGTTAGGAACTTAATAAATTACACAAGAAATACGTCCTTTCTAAATAAATACTCTTACAATTGCTCCAAGACTGAGGATAAAACTGTGCTACCTACATTATTACTTTATGGTTATCTACTTGCACGATTTAAGATAATATAGTTGCCCAACGGCTTGTGGTAAAATGATCCCCGAAGTTAATCCTATACAAAATACAAACTCTGGCGTAGAGACTACTTAACTTCCTATAATAAATGCATAATTTTCTGAATGGCTAACTTGAATCACAGATAGGAGCGCTAGTAGTTAATAGAAACAGATGTTTTTTGGATTAACTTCGGGGCCGTGATTCGTGAGCGGTGAAATGAGAGTATTGTCGTATGCCGTTGGGCAACCGTATTATCTTAAATCGTTGATACTGTATAGCAACTATAATTTCTTTACAATGTGGTATGGGCTCTTATTGACTGTACATTGTTCAGTTTTAACTGCCAAGTAGAACTGACCGGAGTAAACTATTCAGTGTTAGGAAAGGAGAGACCATAAGGAATAAGAGAGCCATGTACATTTTTCCATTCAATTTTGTCTGTGGCGTCACGCAGCACGCTTGTGAGCTGCATACTAATCATACAATGACGTTTTTGACGATAATAATTGTATTATTGTTATTTCGGATTCGGTAATAACTATTTTCATTGACCAATCGGATATCGGTCAAAGGTTGCTGTCTTTTCATTCGTTGATGTTGTCACGTGTACCAATTATATAACGTTAACAAATTTTAATTGTTTGACATTTTCTGATTTACGGATATTCTGTTCACCGGATATTGGTAAAATGTGATTTTTTTTACCTGCGGAAAGTATTATTTTGGTCCGTGGTCGAATGGACAATATTGAATATTGCTGACAAGTTTTGTTTGGAGAAGGTCGTCATTTATACCATATTACGCTAACATAAGATATTGTCCACCATTATCGTGATTTTGGTTTATTATTTGTTTTACATACTGTGTTCTTTACTTAACGATATTTTTTGGCATTGGAAGAATATTGTTATAATTATTTCATCGTTGCCTGTCGGAATGCCTTTATCTCCGCTCACATCTAGCCAAGTCCGAGCATTTTTGCCCGTTGACACGTGGACTGAGGTTTGTCACTTCTTAATCTCTACTAAATTGTTAGAAAAAAATTGTACCAATTTGAACTCAGACCTTTGCGATTTAAGCCGACGACTTATGTTACTTATTGTTTTAAAAATGTTACTGGTTAAACAAAACTAAAATGAAAGTCGCTTCAATACTCTAATTAGTCCCTTGAGAGGAGATATACATTTAAAATGATTGTTATTACTTTAACGATGCATACTTTATACAAAGTACTTAGGCAGGATCGGCCTGGCTCCTATAGGGCCTCGGATTCTAATTCTCTAAAAGGCCCCCAAAAACAATTTTGTTTGTTCATTTTGTATTATTTTACAGTTTTACCCTAGCATCCCACATAATGTGTTAAATGCCCTCGCCCCAGGGCCTCGAAGGCTTCCATAGTTGGGAGCGTTGGCCGCGTTCTCGACCTTGTAGCGTTAATCAGGCCGACTCTGTACTTACTTCATATACTTGGGTCTGAGGTCGAATGTCTTCAAGGGAGGAGCAGCTGTAACGCTCATATTTCACCTGACCGTTACGTCTCGCCCCAAACAGGTAGTGACTGTCGACATATGCACAGGACAATGCAAGTACTCTGTACTTGTATATTATATGGACCTCCCCTATTTTTTTCAATCTCGTAGGGTAATTACATAAAATAATTTACACTACACATTAATACAGTTACTAATAAAATTACTGATTATTTGCCCCCCCCACGTCTTGCCACTACCTGCCACTCTATAGGACAGCAGGTCACCAAGTATTTTGGCCACCGCTCACTCGGCGCCGTTGTTTCGCTCTGCTAAACTAAAAATATCCAAGGTTTACTGGCTACAGTCTAGGAGGATGTTACAGGTTTAACTTGACTTAATGGCGCAGACACGGCATACTCATCTGTTTCTGCTAGGATCCGTATACTTTAGTCTTACTGATGGCCGCTTTATTGTCTAGCCTAGCCGGCTAGCCAAGTAGGATCGTTACAGTACAGAAATAAAATGTAGTTGTAATTTTATAATATATTTACCTACTCAATTTTTTTTAAAAGTAACTAACTATTTATTCTTTTAAAAAATTAACAATGGATTCTAAGGTCATATAAAATATTCAACAACACTTAAATAAAATTTTAATAATCAAAATACGGAAAATAAAAAAAACAAAACCGAACTATTATTGTTATGGTGAGATTTGTTTTACTTGGACATTATTTTTAGAACTAGTATTTAATCATTAAGATTTAATATTTTTTATAAATGTCCAACATATTACCAATAAAGTTTGCCATGTAATACGATTCATTGCCTATATTATAGTAATTAATAACTTGTCACTAATAAATTTTATCTTTGTGTGACTAAATATAATTTCTTTATTGAATTAATAAGTTCATGTATTTGACATCAACTAATCTTGATGGTAGTAACTGAGTTCAGCGGTTAGTTTTGATAATGATTAAAATATTACGTTATATAATATCTGCTACCAAAGAAAAATGTTAAATATATCACCGGTTTAATCTAACTACATATGGATAACATTTTTGTTATATATTTTAAACAGTAAATAAATACCAAGTTTTCCAGAAAAATTCCTATTAATTTCACTTTTTACTTTTTATAATTAGATTGTAATTAAATAGATATAAATTTAATATTTTTATTTTTATAGGTTGTTCAACTTCGGAATACTACACATAAAGACAATAGTGTATTCTTTATTTCTACTGAAGACAAAATAAATAAGAAAACTGTAGACTGCAATAAAATTAAATTACAGTGTAGCTCTTATGAAAAAGTTGATAAATTTGAACTTATGAAAATTGTAGCAGTGGAAATTGATGGCAATTGGTAAATTATTTTAAATATCCTCATTAATGAATGTAACAAAATTCTATGTGATAGATACCTAGCTATATATTTCATTGGTTTTTACAATCCATTTGTTATTTTAAACTGTGCTAACATTTAATTTTAATATAAAAATGTGTAATGCCTATGTGTATTGCGCAGTTGAGAAAAATGCATTTTAGTTTTTGTGCTGGTGTCTTCTTTTTTGGAATGCAATATAATTTTAGATTGCTTTAACCATTTTTATAATGAATTCAAGGTATTTGGTTTCCACTAAATTGTTCAAAAGACCTAGTTCAGATAAAAGGGTCCGTTAATCAACTAACTGCTTTATGTTTGCACTTCTTTTCTTTAATCAAAAAATGTGTTAAGGTTGTTTTTTTGAGGACTGTTTGACTCAAATGTTTTTGTACCATAACTATTTTAAATATTTGCTTTTCTCATTTCGGCTGCTTATTGTTCTTTTATTGATTATAACTATTATATTCTCATTATAATTGGTTTAATATATGTGTAAAATTTATACATGCCTTACATTAGCTAATTTGTATTTATATAATTAAATATTTTGTTCTTTTAACATTGCAGGTTAAGAGGAAAATTGTTAAGCCATAATGAGTATCAGTCTGACAACACTATAATTGAATTGATTGATGAGGGATCGATTTACCGTACTAAAATGGAGAATTTATATACCCTTCCATACTATTTTCTATATGATCCTTTGGTAACAAATATTTTTATGGTGTCACTAGTGCTCGTATAAAAGATTGCAAAAAAATATTGAGTATTGAGTATTAAACTACTAGTGTAATTAAATATAATGAGGGTCTGAGTGCAATAATGATCAAGTATACGAAAATAGAAAAAATATAAGTTACTAATAGAATCACAAAGTTATTTTAATTTTTTGTGAAATACTGACATTACATATTACAATTTTTTTATGGCATTACAAAAGTGATCTATTAATAATGCATATTTATTCTATTTTAAAACTGATTTGCTTTAAAGTAAGCTGTTAAAATTTTAATAATAACTAGAAATTTAAAGTCAAAATATCGGAACTGTTGTATTAATTCCATTAAATAGTATGATGGATAGATCTTTATCGCATGTTGCACTTCAACTGTAGAAATTAAAAAATAAAATTATTTTTGTTTTGATAATTCTAGTATTTCTGTTATTTGAATATGTTGAAGCTTTTATGGATTGAAATATTATTTGGGTAATTTTCAGATGTATCTAAATAACTTCTATTATTTTCAGAAGTAAAACATTTTATTTGAGCACTAAAATTTTTAAAAAATTATTGATAAAAAAAATATTCACACAAAAATTTTTGTTATATAGGCACTTCCAATCAAATTTAAAAATACTGTACCCAAAAACTCAACATTTAGGATAAAACCTTTGCTTTCTGAAAGTGTAAGTGACTTAAGACCTTAAATTATATCATTACAGGAATTAAATATTGTAAACTTTTTTTTGTAGGAACTTCATGAGGGTTTTGTTATTGTTGATGTGGATGGTAATGAATCAAGTACTACTCAAAATGAAATAAATCGGCCTCCTTTGAACATTAAGAATCTGTTAGTTCATCATAATTTATGTTTTGGATAACTATTTTACTAAAATATTTTGATATCTTAGTTATCTAATAATGATATTGTTATTTGTCGTTTTCTAGGTTAAGTTTTAACAAAGTTACGCCTTCAGTTAGTAAAAATGATACTAAGTTGACTAACGGATACTGTAACGGTGTTTCCAGGTATGTTTTGATAGATTAATACTGTGCTTATAGATATTAATGGTTTAAGTTTAAAAATATAAAAACGGATAAATTAATTGGAGCTCTTAACCAGTAACAAACAAAAACATTTAGTATACTCTTGTCCATAATTTTAGTCCTTGAACCTAACCCTACGTTCTGGGTGGAGCAATGGCCATTATTTTAATATGCTTTACATGTTTTTTTCAATTTGTCTAAAATGTTTTAATGCCTGATTTTAACTATGTTAGTTGTATAAAGGACACATCTTTACTATGTTATTATGTGATATGTAATATAATAAGTGTATCTTAGGTCAAGGAGGGCAAAAATGAGTTATTGGACAACTGAACAATTAAATTAAAACACTTAATACTGTGTTAAAATTAAAAAAATAATTATTTCCAGGACAATTATTAAAAATGTTACAAATAATCAAGAAAAAGATGTATATATAGCCTAATACATAATAACAACTTAAAAGCTCATAGACTTTTCTTGACCCAAATCGCCAATCAGTATATTCTAGAGGTCCCTATTACACGTGTAGTTATAAATAATGTGTATTAAAAAAATTTATTTTTGTTATTAATTTTAGTTTCACGTTTAATATCTCGTCTATTTAATCATACAAACTCAAACACAAGTATAATTGTGTAAATACGTTAACTCAAACTAAAATTTTTGACAAAATACATTTTTTTAAATACACGTGTATGTTAATTACACGGGGTTCGTGTACACGTTATTTAAATTACACGTTTAAAATTACAGGCACTAGTATATTCCAACAGTCCCGTGACATTCAAAATATTTAAAAAAAATTATAAAATAAAATATTGTGATTGGAGAATTTTGGGTTTCAGTTCAATCACATGAGAACCAACTTTTAAAATAACAATATCGGCTAATGAAAAAAAATTACAATTAATTTAAGTGTCGAGGAACTATTATTGGGGTGGTTTTTTTTATATATTTTATACTGTACTCAGCGGTTACTTGAAAACCATTTTTTTACGTGGCTGCCGAGTCACTTCTTATTGTGTACAGAGTATAATGAAATTTTTTCTCTCTTATTAGATTTGTTTATTACGTTGTTGTTTAATTTTTATATTTATTTTTAGTGTAAGTGATTTACCAAGTCTGAGAAAAGGTAGTTTCAACAGTATTCCTAAAAAACAAGAAATTCCATTTGAAAAAGGAGATCATTGTATTATTACTCATTATGAAAACTTAAAACTTTTTTATGTTGCTAAAACCATTAATCAAATGCGTGTCAACAACGATATTTTAGAACAAATTGAATTAGATGAAGGTATGCTCAAATTTCTTAATACATTTTATTTGTATAGTGCACAATGGCTCTGTGATTTAAACCCATAATAGTATACTTTTTATAATTATCTTATTTAACTGTTTTAATTAACTGACTGATAGACAGACAATTACCTTAATTGATCTATTAAGTTAGGTAGGTGTATAAGCCGAGGACTGGAATGGTAATTTTTCAAGTTGCCTGTATTATATATCATAGCCTTATGACTGAACTAATTGCAAACTGTTCTCAAAATTGTCAATGAATTATTAAAATAAAAGTCTTATAAAACAAATTATTATTAAGTCCTATTAAAAGCTACATGATGATGATAATGGTTTTGATTAAAACTATCATTGAAGAAGGAGGGGGAATCTTTTTAAATTTTGTTAAACTTCGAGCACTGGCATTGGCTGCAGTTACAGTTTTTTCTGAAAAAAAAAGACTGCACGTTTATATGTTTGAAGTCAGATGGGACTAATTAGATATTCTCTAGTTACAAAAAATAAAGAAAAATGCAAAATGTAGCGAAGCTTAATTGAGAGAGTGGTACAAAGTTGCTATGGTGAAACTAATGCACAGGATTGCTTGAAGGTTAATGGTGCTCTACAATATTTAGTAACATCAGAGAAAAATTATATGGGATGGACTAGTCATATTACAATATCCCGACCACTTAATTACCACTTACCAATTTTATAAGTGCTTTTTCTTATTATCTACAATATTTTTAGGTACAAAGTTTATATCTTAAAGGCAAAACACAAATTGTATGTTATACTTTTAAAGAAGCTAAAATTTGAAATAATGAATTTACAAAATCTTCATGTTCAGTGTATTATTCATTATCAGAACTCTGACGATTAAACAGTAGTTCTGAAGTAGGCCTGAAACATAAGTATTTAGGTTCTATAGTATTGAAAATGTTAGATATTTTAGGTTATCCCTATATTTAAACATTGACTTTGTCCATATCATAAATATTGTCAAATGAGCTATAAAATAGCAAACCCCGTAAAATCTTCTAAACATTTTATGTCTAAAATATTGTAAATAATATATAATTATAATTCATACTCATTGTAATTGTTTTTTTTTTTTATAGTAGGTAAAATTCCAAAACTAAACCCTGTAGTAGGTGATACTGTCACAGTTTATTCATCAGAATATGGTATGCGTTTTCGAGCCATTATTTTAAAACCAATTTGTAACGATGAATTTGAAGTTTATTATATTGACTTTGGTAATAAAGAAGTAGTATCTTCTAAAAATATATTTAAAATCTCTGATAAATTTCTGTCAAAGGTAATTAAAAGATATCTCAAAGTCTAGTTGTATTATAATTTATATATATTGTGACTTGAAAAATGTTTAATTTATTTTTAGAATGGTTCAGCTGTTGAAGTTGGAACTAATCCACCCTCTGATTTAAAAATAACCCCTGCTATAGAAAATATGTTTAAAGAATTTATCAACACTGAAACAGAATTTTTAATAGTGGTATTAATTTTAAATAATTTATTTGATGAGAGCTTAAAACAGTATTGTCAAATTGTTGAATAAATGTATTGGTTTTCTTTTTTTTAGGATTATGTTAAAACGGATTTAGATCGCTTAGAAAATATAAAATTAAAAAATGTTAAAAATGGATTATTTATTAGCAGTCTTGTAATGAAATGTTTATCAGGTATGCTACCAAATTATATAAAATTATTATTTTTTTCTCAAATTAGTTAGAACTAATTTCTATAATTTTCTAATGTTAAAGATGAAAAAGAATCTGCTCAAACAACACAAGAAAATCAAAACAAAAATACTCAAAACAATTCTATACATAATATTACTTACAGTGAAAAAAATGAAAATGAATTAAGAAACGGCGATTCAGTGTTTGTAAAACATTTTGAAGATTCAGCTCATATATTTGTTGTGAAAGATGTTAAAGCCTTCAACAATTTAATTGGCACAATTATCCAAGATGAACGTTAGTTGAGTATTTCTCACATTTAAAGACAAATTTTTTTTTGGGGAAGTGGAAATATATGTATCTTACCATTTTAATTCTATTTATATTCACACATTATATATTTTGTTTGATATGATCATACCTATTTTATTTTCAGTACATTGTCCTGAATCTAACTTTCAAATAGGTAATTTGGTTAAAATTGTCTTGCCAAAATCAGAGTACCGGGCAAAAATAATTAACACTAATGGCAACGAGGTTCGTGTTAAGAGTCTTGATTTCGGAATTACTGACCAAGTTTCTACTGAACATGTTTACAAACTTTCAGAAGAGTTAAAAAAGGTTCGATTGTTAAATTTTGAGTTTGTTATTTCAAAATTAGTTTTGAGCTGTCTTGTCAGTTTTTTGTATTTTTCATTAACTAACTATAAATTCTTTTATACATTTTACTTTAGATTCCTCCATTGATTAAAACAATTGGACTAAAAGGGCCATTTATAAAGTGTAATACATCAGTATTGGCTTTTGTTGACAAAATAGAAAATATTAAATACACTTTGGTATGTTACTCAAATTTAAATTTATGTTTGGCTTTCTTTTCATTATTAGTTTTAGTTAATCTAATTATGCAAAGGCTGATAGTCTCACCAGGATACCAGCAAATCCCGCTACGCCTTGTTACTTTGTAGGGCCTTTTTCGATTCGCTACTGAACACGTGCAAATATACAAGGATATAATATAACAAGGACCAAGTCAATCGTAATACCTAATAATAAATAATAATTTTAAATATTTCCCTCTACTCAAAAAAATAAAAAGATAAAGAAAAGCTAAAAATCTTCTTTTCATGTTCGGTCATAGTAGCTTGTCATATATAGTAGTAGTTATTACTTCCCATCCCAGTATTCTGCCACCGTACAGCATTGTCATTCATGTCATCGACATCCTTCGCTGTGCACTCATCATTAAGATTAGGGCATTCAAAAACATGTCTTTCATCCTGGACATCTCCACACTCGCACTTGTCATCTTCGGCTTATCCTTATTTTTACATATTCTTTTAAGTACGGCTATATGACACTTTTATTCGGTTTATGGTTCTCCATATACTCCATGGAAGAGTTTTGTCTTTATGTAATTCTTGTCTTGTCTTGTCCTTGGGTCTGCTCTCCATTTAAATCCTATCAGTTTTCTTATAATTTCATTCTGTCTAATGTTAACCCAAATAGTTTATTGTATCACAATGTGCCAGGACAATACCTTGCCATAATAAATGCACATACTTGGGTCTTGGATAGGTTTTGTTATAAGTGGTTCTTTTTGTAATATTTTCCTAGCCCTCCCTAGTATACTTTCTATTTTATTTTTAACAATTTCAAATTATCTTGTGCCATTACCACCAAGTCATCCGCATAGATAAAATGTTCTGCCTCTTTCAATATGGTTGATCATTTGTATAAACTTTAAAAATTATTGGAGCCATAACACTAAAATAATTTAAAAGCACTTAAATCCACAAACACTGTTCCAGTTATTATTTATGAAAATGTATGTTTATATTTATTTTAATATTAATTACATTTACCAAGGTTAAAAAAAATTTGTATTTAATTTGTATGATAAAAATAATATAAAGGAATACATATTTTGTACAAGGTATAAAAGCGAAGTCTTCCACGAGTGAGTTGCGTGTACTTATTGATAGTTTTTGGGTCCTTTATTTTTTATATTTTCTCAGTAACAAACATGTGGCCTATCCGCCTCTGCAATTATATGAAGGTGAATTAATTTTTTTTTTTTGTATTCATGTTAAATATTAGAAAATATTATTCAATAATATTTTCTAGTTTAAAATTATTATTATTATTTCATAATAAATAATTTGATTATCATTTATAAACTAAAAAAGCCAGAACAGTTGGGTGGTTGGGGTATAGTAGGGACAGTACATAGTGGAGTCGATGTAGTCACAGTATTGTTGAATTTATTATAACTGAAAACTAAATAAAAATATCTTATAATTTAGGAATTTGATGAAAAGAACCCAAATTGTCTTAATGAAGCAGTTCTAAGAAGAGAAGGTTCATCTGTAAGCCTTATTGATGAGATTGTTAAAGCTGCTGAAAATCAAATAGAAAATAAAGGTAAGTATCATATTGTATTAAGCATTAACTAAATCAAATAATTGTTTGAAATTGGTCAATGTTAATACATTACCAAAACAATATTCAACAACAGATACTGTTCTAAAATATCAGAGTTTCGTGAAGGTGTTTTTTGTGGTTAAGATACAGAATGAAACAATTTCAAATGTTTCATAACAGTTCAAAAGATTCGTCGTTTTGTTTATCTAGTTTCAAATATTTATTGATTTCCGATAATAAGTACCAAAACATGTAAAAAATTATGATAAAAATTGACTTAATACATTACCATTTAGTAGCAAATAATTTCCATTTTATATTGCAGGTGTTTATTATCCAAATATTTGATAATTAAATAAAATAAATTAAGAACTTTACTCGGAACTTACTTTAAATTTTTTAATTTTATTTGTAAATATTTTAAAGTTTCTGAACTTAATTCGGAATTTTTTTTAAATTATTTTTTACAACTGTAACATTTATTCTGTTTTACATTCTTTTTTAGCCTTTGTTGAAGCCTAAATATTTTACGTTATTATTTTTTGAATTGCTATTGTTTTCTAAATTATCTATTAAATGTTCACTAGTTATTATAATATTTAATGGTTTTACAGAATCCAATTCAAATTTAAAGATAGAAAAACCTACAAAATTAGTAAAACAAAGTACATTAAGTAGTGGAGATATTTGCGCAATTACTTATTTTCAAGATTTTAATTGTATTTATGTTGCTAAACTTAAGAAAGAAGATTCTAATTTCCAATTGTGCAATATTGATATAGTTGCGGAAATAATGAATAATGAAGAAGGTAAATTACCATTATGTACTATTAGACAGTAGTAATTATACAAATAATACTTATGTAATTTGTTTAAAATTGTCAAACTGTGAGTTAGATGGTATTGTGATTCATTTACAAGAGAAATGGCCTAAAAAAGAGCAGTCACTATCAGCTCTCTGGTGATGGATTAACGACTTATTATGAGAAGTGAATAGTGTTGAGAAATTATTCCCTTGGGGGAAGGGGAGAGGCAGCAAAGATCCTAAATGAACCACTGAAGCTATTATACTAAAAACCCTTATAAGGAATTCATAAAATACATTAATTGGTATTATTAAAAAAAATGTATTTAAACAATTTATTTAAATAGGCATTGCAGTAAAAACTGAACCTAAGGTTGGAGAAGTCTATAAAGTTAAATCGCCTTCAGATAATCAATTTTATCGTGGAAAAATAATAAGTATAGATAAAAATACAAGTTTTGAAGTATTTTACATAGACTTTGGAAATACAGAAAACGTTAAAACAAGTGATATATTTGAACTTGAAGTTCAATTCAAAGAAATGGTATGTCATAATTATTTTTAATAAAACAAGCTATCTATTTAAATGAATGAAAGTTAATCTTTACGGTTGTGCTTATGTTTTATATATAGATAGACCTACCAGTTCTAGTTGGAATTAAAGTTCACCCAAACACAAAAATAACTGAAAAAATTAAGAATCTATTTTCAGATTTAGCAGACGAAAACATTCCTCTAATAATTGTAAAAAATAAATTGTTACAAATGTATTTATTAAACTTATTAAGTACAAATAATTATTTTTTAGGAGTTTGAAGATTGTGTTGTTAACAAAGTACAATATGTTCGTTTAAAGTATCTTGATTCTGAAGAATATGTAAATGATAAAGTCTTAGACGAATTAAAGAATCAAAAAAACCCATTTAAAAGTGGTGACATTTGTCTATTGACACATTTTCAAGATTTCAAAAATATATATGTATCTAAAGCAATTAAATGTAGTGAGAATAATTATGATTTGCACAATATTATAATGGAAGTAGCAACTATTACTCCGAGTAATGGTACGTATTAAAAAAGTAATCACATAACATTATATACTAAACACAAAATTCAAAAAAACAAAGAAAATTATATGGGAGACTAACCTAAAAATTTCACTTTTTCACATTTTTTTCAAATCTATAATTTGCTGTAATATTTTTTGAATACTAGTTATTATAGTTATTTATAGAATATTCAGCCAAGTTTATATTTTATGTATTTTAGTATGTTAAGTATTGTTAGGTATGGCAAAAATTAAAGAATTGATTATTAATAATACTTATTTTTTTACATTTCAACATACATATTTTGTATATTAAATAAATAGTTTGTTATTTATTTTTAATTTACAGATGATTTATATGAAAATCCTGCAGTTGGAGAAATTGTTATTGTTAATTCTATTTTGTGTGGGGGGGTTTTTAGAGCTGTCATTAAAACCAAGATGTCTAATGGTCTTTTTGATGTCTTATATATTGATTTTGGTAATACTGAAATTGTGGAGCCTTCTCAGATTTTTAAACTCTCAGAATATTACAAAAACCAGGTATTGTATTATGATCTTCCACATTTTCTTACGAGTAGCTATGAAATTTTAGCATGTTTGTTTTATGTTGAATTTTTAAAATTAATGTTACATTGTCATGCTGTAATATTGTTCAAATTATAGCACTTTAAAAAAAAAAAAAATGTTACAAGAAGGTTTTCTTGTAATTAAATGTGGATTAGATCAGGGAATTTTATGAATGACTAAAACCTCAGACTGATGAAGTGAACATGATATTATAATGTATAAAATACATGATACCAGACAACAGTAGATTTGAAAATAATATAAACCATAATTTGTTTAATTTAATTTTCGATATTTATTAGTTTTGTAATCTTACTCAATAAAAAACTACTATATAAATGTTTATCAATTTAATTTTTTTTGTTTTAGCCTTGGTTAGCTATTAAAATCGGACTCAATATTAATCTCAATGCTATAAATGATAGTATTAAAGACATATTTGAAAACCTTTCTCAAAATGTAGAACCATTGATAATTGTAAGTGTTGATTAATTATACGATTGAATAATTTATAATCAGTCTAAGCTAGTTTTTTAAAGGTTTTTGTAATTTTATTTAGGAATTTGATGACATGTCTGAAAACGGATTGGAAAATTGTATTCTCAAAAAGCTTTCGGATGGTCATAACTTAAACGATGAAGTATCAAAATATATACCATGCGAGGTACCAGTAACATTAGGTAAACAATGATATTTAATAAAGCTACTATTGACCTAGCTGTCGAAACCTTAAAAAAAAAAAAAAATTACTATCTGGTTTTAGTTAAAAAATTATCCATAAAAAACTAGTAATCAAATAATGTACTTAAAAAAAAAATTATTTTCCATATTGTTAGTGTGATATAATACAGTTAAAAATAAAATAGAAATACTAACTGAACAAATTATAATCAGATTTGATCACAAACTAACTAGATTTTAATATACTTTTTTTCAAAATAACATAATTTATTTTTAATTAAAAGTATAGCTTTTATGATTTTTAAGAAAATAGGATAATTTTGAAAATTTAAAATAACAAAATAAATGTTTATCTACGATTGGGCTAGTCATAAAAAAAGCCAATTTGTCAATTGTCTGTCTAAAAAATGTTGTAAAAACACAATAATCATTTTTTTTTTTAAATTGTAATTTTACAATACACCACTCCTTGCATTAGATATTGGCTGGCGACAAAAATAATAAACAGACTTTTTTTTGGGAAGTTAAAGCTTGCTGTATTTTAATGATTAAGAAAATCACAACTCTTAGGGTGTTTTTCTCTATTTCTTTAGCAACAAATTACTTTATTAGTCTCCACTTGCACGCACAAACTAAAACATTATAATTTCTGTTTAGCTAATTGTGATTATAATAATTATTTTTCTAGCACCATATTGATTTTATAATTTACATATTAACTAATATATTGTTTACAATGACCAAATTGGCCAATGCTTAATGCATAATATGTAAAAAGTTTTATGTTTTTAATTATTTTTTAGAACAAAAACCAACAATGACACAAAAAGATGTTGACAAAATAGTATTGAATGAAGCCATTATTACTGATTCGACGACATTAGCATTGCCCATAAATACAATTTTAAGAAATAATGAAAGGGTCATTATAAGATACTTTCATGACACTGATAACGTATATGTTAGTAAAGAATCTGAACTAGAAGCTTACTATCAATTAATTAGTGATAGTGAAGATAAAGGTGAGTTTTATATTTGTTATATGTTTAATAAATCTAGTTTAATATTATTAAAATGTCAATGCGTAGTTATTATTTTTATTGTGTATATATATATACACAACGTTAAAACTGTTGTTACAAATATAAAAAAGTTATTTATAAATAAAATTTTAAATATATTTATTTATTTATTTATATGGGGCATTATGAGTCAAACCACGCAGTTATCGGGACGACCTCAACATTTTTCGAAATTTTTTTTATCAATTTTTGGTCCTATATAAGACCTACATTTTTTTTGAAACTTATCACTCATATTTATCCCTAAAATATAGGTTTTTAAAGTTATTTTTCTTGAAAAATTGATTTCAATCAGTTTTAAAATTCTGAAATTTTTATCCTAAAATCAGGGACTCAAATCAAATTTTTTCGTCTAATAACTGGAATGGGCCGAGATTTATTTCTGTTTTTTTAGTAATAAATTATTTATTTTCAAAATCTGAAAAAAAAATGTATAATTTCAGTTTTTTATTTAAAAAAACAAAACGTCCTAGTAAATTTAGATTTTTTGCATATTTTGGGATTAAAAAGTGAAAAATGTGCCTTTGAATAAAATTCAAAATGAAACTATACATTTTTTTTTTAGATTTAAAAAAAAAATATAGAAATAAATCTTTGCTCACTTTTTGTCATCAGTCCGACGTTCTCGTCGGGACGATGATAACGTGGTTTGACTCAAAATTCCCCGTATACAGGGTGATCAATCTGATGTAACACAATCTTTTCTCGGAAAATACAAATATCTTGTAAATCATTTTTTTCTTTTACTTTTAGGTATATACTTTACTATATTTTTTAATTCTTGTTACAATTTTTACTTTTATTGCTTATGTGTAAATGACCTATTTCCCATTTAATTTCCATATTTTGGGAACAATTTTGATAGGTGTGAATTTTTGGGTACAGTGTACATGTTCAGCAGACTTGTAAGCTATAAATATATTAAAGGTTCAGTTCAATCTATAGAGTAGGAAAAATTGGTTTGTGGCCAAATGTCGTAAGACTGTTAAATCCCATTTAAATTTCCACCCTAGTGGGGCACTTGTTAAAATAATTTTTTTTTAAATATTTTTTTTATTATATTTAAAAACTTTTTAGGGGGCGTCGAGGTTAGAATTAAAAATCGACTTTTTAAGCTCTCATCTACTACAGGTGTATTCAAATGTAAATTTTGGCAAAAACTACCTGTTTATAACTGAAATTTAAAAATTTTCAGATATAACGAATGAAGTAAATCCTCAAGTGGGGTGTATTGTCAAAATAGCCTATGCAAACTTAATGTGCCGAGCGAAAATTCTTGAAATAAGGAACGGCGGTAGTATGCTTAAAGTTCAATTTATAGATTTTGGAAATGTGGAAGTAGTTTCATCTAGTGATGTATACCAAGTTTCTGAAGACATAAAAAAGGTTTGAGTTACTTTATAATCCTAAGGTTGTTACTCTGAGGTTAAATGACTTCAGTGATTAAGTTTAAAATTTGATTTATAAATAACTTGTTTATGTTTGTTTTTATCATAGATTCCTAGCCAGGTTTTTCATATTGGATTAAAAGATTTACCATATATTCAAAAAACAGATAAAATTGAGACTTATATTGCAGACAGACAAAATATTCACATGTATATTGTGTGTATAATATTTAAAGTACCTTAAATACTTTTTTAATATATTATATAACTTCACTTTTACTATTAAGGTGTATGATGAAGATAATCCTAACGGTCTTAAAAAAGCTTCATTGAGATTAACAGAAACTAATGATGATGTTTTTGAAACAATGTGTATTGATTTAGGAATACCATTCAATAAGCAAGGTAATTAAAATTGTATACAGTCAATAAAGCTTAACAAAAATTTTAACGGTATATATCTTCTTTATATATAAATTTCTTCTGTCCGCGTGTAAGTATGCAAACTCCTCTTAAACGGCTGGACAGATATTTATGAAATTTTGTGTGCGCGATTAAGTTAATTCGAGAAAGGTTTAGATTCACAATTTGATCCGATAGAACATGTTTTTAATTTTAAATTAATTAAATGATTAATTATGATTCTCAATAGTATCAATAGTTATCTATACATATCTATGGTTTTTCATGCCACAGGGATACAGTGATCGATCTGATCACCTGATTATGTGTCTATTCTAATACACGGGCAACACCGGGTCGGGACAGCTTGTATATGTATACATATATATATATATATATATATATATATATATATATTTATTGAAGTAAAAACTAATATACATAACTGAAATAAATTAAAAATAATATCTAAAAATTGACGTTTTAATAATTTTAAACTAGTTTTATTAAAAATTTAACAAATATAAAAACTCACTTTTATCTTTAATAATATCACTAACTATATAATTGTAAACGTGTTGTTAAGATTGATCACTAACATATACATTATCAGTATCTTTATAATGTCATAGCAAACGATAAAGTAAATTTTAAACTGAGTATTTTTAAAAATATGTTTAAAAGATTATCTTTTTTTTAGTAATTGACATTCGATTTTGTAATTTATGTATGAATACAATTATTTTTATTTAAGTTCATAGAATAAAAACTTGTTTTTATTTTATTTTTCTTTGTTATGAAATATTTTATGATATTTTAAAACCCCAATTAGTATTAATATTTTGATTCTCATTCTCTGTTAGATACAAATTTAAACAATACTTAACATTTTTAATTCTAATATTTATATGTATATGTTGGGGAAAAATGTATATATTCGATGTTCCAACGTTTAATCAGCATGCATAAAGTATTGACATTATGAAATGATGACTTTTTAGCAAATAATAAATTATCAGTTATACATTTGATACTCGGATAACTTACAACCTCAGCTAAATGCTGTAATGATACAATGATACAATTAACGCATTTAGATTAAGCCTCTGCACTATGAATGCTTGATCAGTTTCCTTTAGTGTTCCACAGGGTTTTAACGCATCAACGGGTTTAAAAGATTTGTTCTTACGCCGTAAAGATGTGTTGTGCCGTCCACAGCCATGTAGCCAGTTTAGCCAACCCTGTTATTTATATTTGTTTAAATATAATATATATTTAGAAAAGTCACCTTTTAATGTAATGTGCCTGTTAACATTTTTTTAAAATTATTTTAACCTTTTTTTTTTGTTAAATATTGAGTTAAAAAAATGAATCGTTTCAGAAAAATGTTTGACGAAAAATGATACAGAAGATGTAAACGAAGTTGTATTTTTATGTGCTTCTGAATCAGGTGATGGGCCAGATGCTGAATTGAATAATGACGATATTGTTTATTGTAGTCATTTTGAGGACTTCAATAACTTGTACATTTGTAAAGGGTCTTGGAAAACTGAAATACCAAATAATTACGATGTAATGATTGACTCTTCAAAACCACAAGGTAATGCGAGTTAATTTTTTTTATAATATTCTAAACAAAAAATATAATAAGAGAAGAGCGGATTCTTAGGTTTTTGTATTCGCTTTCTGCAGATCAACGGGGGGTAAAAAATGTAAATGTAAAAAGGTAATAGTATAATATTTTGCCTATTTTTGCATAATTTAGAATATTATGAATATAATATAGATAATATTGATGTATTATATAATGTAAATAAATATAGAGAAAACAAATTATCTATTAAGTATTATAATGTGTTTTTATACTAACTATTATTTAACGTTTTAGGTATTAAACTAATTACAAATCCTAAGCTTAAAGAAATCGTGAGAGTGAAATATGAAGATGAGTTTATACGCGGTGAAGTACTTGCAAAAAGAGACAGAAATTATAAAGTGTTTTTAATTGATGTTGGAAAAATTGTAATTGTTGATTCTAATAACATTTTTGAACTACCTGATAGACTAAAAAAAGTATGAACTTGAGTATGGTATAATGTAAAATTAGATATACTCGAGTGTCTTTTTTTTATTAATAAAATTACATTTTTTTCAAGATCCCTGGATTAGCCAAGAAAGTTGGATTAAAAAATATCAATGATCTTCCAGTAACTCCAGCTGTGAGGGAGTATTTTAAAAAATTATGGGATAAGGGAGCAGAAATAGTTCCATTAATTTTGGTAAGAATTAATTTTTTACATGTTGTTAATATTATAATCATAATACTGGTAAAAATAATTGACATCATGGCCAGACGGGGTAAGCTAACAGTGTCGTTACATAGTTACTAGCAGAACATTGACAATTATTTAGACGCTAAGAAAAGAATCTGTTAACATTTTTCTTTTATTGACTTATGTATATTTTTAATAGAAATGTAATGTTGGCCAAGCAAATTATTTGGATTCTGTCGAATTGAAGAAGAAATGTTCAGGTCGAGACATAATTGATGAACTAGCTCAAATTGCTCAAAATAAAATGGAAACTAAGCTTAATGAATCCTATGAATCCTATGAATCCAGTAATAGCTCTTATACCAAAAGTATGATGTTTGTGAACTCAACATTTTATCGATGACTGTAGTTAAAAAATAAATGTTTTTGCTTACAGTTCCCTTAAGTATTTTGTATCCAAAAAGTGGTGATAAATTCGAGTTGTTGTTTGCTAACAATGTTGATAATGTCATGGTACGTAGTGTTAAATTATATGAACATTGTAAGGAAATTATAAATCAACTAAAAAACGAAAAAAGTAAGTATAAATAAAATATAGATGGTATTAATGCATTAACATAATCATTAAATAATTTTTTTTTTTTTAAAACATTTTTTATAACCTCACCATTATTTCACATGCAAGTTTATTATAAATTGTTATGAATGTTTATAAATTGTTAGCATATTAGGATTACGCTTTTTGATAGTTATTCTTAGTTGTTATAGTCACTTATAATATAGTGTTACACATTTATCACATTTTATTATGTATTTGTGTAACACATATTTATACACTGTAGCTGTCTATAAAATATTAACGTAAAAGTATAAATAGGATATTGTTTTTGTCTTAGAAGAAAACTTGGTACCTGTCTCACAACCAAAGATTCATGAAGTATATGTAGTTTATTCTGAAAAGTTTAAAGGAATGTGCAGAGGAAAATATCTGGGACCAAGTATTGAAAACAAGGGAAAATTTGCATTAAGCGATAACGCAACTGTTGAGTATATCGCAAGTGATAATATATGGGTATTGCCTGTTGCTTTTAAACCAAATAAGGTGAATGAATTCAAAAATACTTAAACTAGGTCAATTAAAATATTATATCAAATTAAAAAAACGTATTTACATAATATGTAATGTATATGTTCAATAAATGTACGTCTACAATTTTAAAAATGTAAAATGTTTTTTAGGTGCCAATTGTGGTTAATAGAGTTACTTTAGCTGGTCTTAAAAAATGTAATAACAACAAATTATCACAATACTTTGAAAGTTATATTGGAAAAACTGTGATTGTAGTAAATATACTTTCTACATAAATAATACAACTTCAGTAAACTGTTTAATTAGCACTATATGTATTAACTTATAATTTCAAAATTCAGGAGTTTGAGAGCAACAATGATAATAAGTGGTATAGCCAGGTGACATTGCGTGAACCAAACAGTAGAGTTTCTATGAACGAGGAAATTTTAGATTTAATGAATACAAATCAATCGTGTTCTTTAATTCAACAAAGGCTTCAAAGAAAAATAAGTGGGTTTTAAAATGTTTTGTTACAGTAAGAGTAAAATTAAATATTAAACATATATATATATATTTCAGTTAATCCAGTGGTGAGTAATAGTCTTTCAACAAAATCGACACATCCCATTACAAGTGGTTCTTCTGTGCTATTAACACATTTTGAGAACTTCCATTCCATTTTTGTTCGTGATGGCTCGATTGAAGCTCTAGACAAAGTTCGACTGTTTAACAGAAATATGTTAGCATTTTACAGACAAAGTAAATAAGACTTACCATTTTAGTTGAACATTTTATTTTAGTGCATTTTTACATTATTTTCAAACTCTCTAGAGAACAGTACTGACAATGAAGAAAATATAGCTATTAATGAGAAAGTTTGTGTATCATCTTCAACAATTATGTACATGTACTCAAGAGCTGTTGTATTAAGCAAATCTGGTGATAAATATTATGTCAGGCATATAGACTATGGAATTGAAGAATATGTTAGCAGCAATGATATATATAAATTGGATGATAGTTTTAAAAAGGTATTCAGAATTTTTAATATCTTACTTGATAAAAAGAGCAAATATTAAAAGAATAAAAAATATAGGAAAATTAAATATAAAATAAAAAACTATTGTTAAAAGAAAATAATAAACTTTTATTTAGTTTTGATTTATATTTGGATGTGTAAATTTTGAATAATTTATCAACAAATTGAATTGTTATTCAATTCAAATGTACATTTGTCTATTAAAAACATTGAAAAAACATTACTATATTACAAGTTGTTATTTGGATGCAAGCCTAAGCAATTAGCTCATTTCTCTAGGAAAAAATAAAAACTATTTCACTTTACAGGAGAATTTTTTTTTAAATAAGAGTAAAAATGTGGTTGATAATATATCTATTGTTATTCTAAATACAAATAATTTAATGGGTTACCTACATAGTTTTAATTATTGAATTTGTCTTTGTTTGTTGTACAGTTAGATGACATTGCTATAAAGGTCCAGGTGCAAAACATACCTAAAATATCTGAATCTGAGTTAAATATTGTAAAAGAGTATGTTCAAAAAAACATCATCACGCCTAGTGTAGTTTTTAATATTGTAAGTTAATTTGAACAACAGTTTTGTTTTATTCTTTTTTCTAAAATAAATTTATAATGTACATTATGTACTAGATATGCATTTATTTGTATGTGTTTATTTGTTAGGAATTTAACGAATTAAACCCACACGGACTGAACGATGTTGTAATGAAAATGCAATATAACAATAAAGATTTTGCTGATGAAATAAGGAATTTGTTAAACACTTCTAAATTGAATATTCAATCAAATGGTAACTAATAGATAATTTATTTTTAACTGTTAAAGCAATCACTGACAATTACAAGAACCCTATAAAAAAACCAATAAAAAAAGAAGCAGACTGCCTAATATTCTTAGGTTGCCATGGATAAGACGCTCCATACTGCTCAGTATTAGAGTACATAGTATATACAATTTTTTAACAGTATTAAAATACTGATATTCATAAAAAATAATTATGCAAATAAAATATATATATATATATTACTTCAAGTAGCCAAGTGTGGTCATACATTTCACTTAGTCACAATGAATTATTGTATTTTTTCGATTGTCGTGTTTTTAAAAACCAAACAGTGCTGAGAATATTGATAATTAATAAGTGTTTAAAATTTGTTTTATAAATTATTTGATGTGATGGTTTTATTTATTTTTAAAGGAAACCCTGCTGCAGTTGGTTCAGAAAATGGTAATCAAAACATCAAACCTCCTTTATCTCCTTATCTAGCTAGGAAGCATATTTTTAAAAAACATTAAAGGTAAATTTATGATCATAAGTATATTTTACCATAAGATGTGACGTTATCATTATTTTAATTTTTTTTATACTTTTAACATATTTTGTATTTTCTATGAAGACGACTGATTAGTATATAATTGAATGGTTATATAATTTATGTTGCATTATAATAAGTTTGTTTTCTTACATTGTATTCATGTTTTAACCAAACAATTGTTTTTTATTGTTTTTAATGATTTAGTTGAAGTTAAAAAATTAAAAATAATAGTAAAAAAGTTTTAAATATTTTATACCTTTGTATGTATTGCTATTTCTTAAAAGTATTAGTATGTGTATTTATTATTGTACAAAGAAAAGTAAACAATTATTTGTTTTCATAAAGTATGATATAAAAAAAAAAAATATATGTAAATAACATTTTTGATGAAACAGTTGAATAATATTATTTATGTACATATATATATGATCAAATAAAAAGTGATTTCAATAAAACAGTATTTGATGTTAAAAAAAAATGATTTGACTTACAATTTTTTTACTAACCTAACGGGAAGAAGTTTCCCACCTCTGCTGCCCATGTCTAGTCTAGAGTTATCACTGTGTTTGGAGGTTCCAATCTGATTTACATAGGAAATCACTCGACGGTACGCATCGCATATTGTACTAGTTATATAGAGGTAAGTGCACTCTCCCTGGTTTACCGAGAAAATCGTTAGTTTAAGTCCCATCTTACACAAATCGCCTATTGTGACAGAAAAAAAACAACATAAATACAAAGTATGTGTAGAGTTATATTTATTATAAATATGTGGTTGGTAGGTACCTATAATTGGTATTTAAACAAACGGCGAACGGATAAAGTATAATATAGGATGTAGGTACTTTACTAAAGCATTGTTATAAAACTTGTGTGCTCGAGAATTTCTATAATTTATATTTTATACTTTAAGAGAATGCTTTATTGCAAATAAAAAAATTCCAAAAAAAAAAAAATAATTGTACTAGTCCCGTTTTTGAACTACACGATGAAAACGTATATATTGAGTGTCCAATTCTATGAAAAAAGTCTTATCGATTTTAAAAATGTCCATCTTGATATTTCACTACATTTTAAAATATTTAAGCTGGCGGTAACATTAAAAATTGGTAAACAAATTTCAAAAAATAAGTACTCATTTATATGTTCGACAATTTTTTTTTTGGGGGGGGGGGTTTGCTGTGGCTTACTTTTTTAATCAATAGTAATTAGTAGCCTAGCCTTAGTACATCCTCATGAATTGAATTTTTCATTAAACTAATTTTAACTTGAAAAGTAATTAAATTTTTCAATTTCAAGAAAGATTCTTAAAGCTAAAATATTACACTTGAAAATCTTTCTTTTGATATTTCATGATACAACTTCAAATTAACTATGTTATTAAGATCAGTTTTATCAGTTTCAATGAGCTGCAACTTAATAAAAACTACTTTTAATTTTGAAATGTACTATGTCGACTTTAAGAATTTTTTTTTTAATTGTAAAAATGTTAATTAGTTTTTAAGTTATAATTGTTTTAAATTTAAACTTTCCATAGCAATTAAATACAAAAAAAAAAATGACGAGTAAGTACCTAATATTTAAGCCAGAGATCTGAAATTTTAGGGATTTTTTAATTGAATAGGCTACTATCGATTCGGGTACAAACAACTAAATGTATAAAAAAACTGAAATGAAATAAAGACCGTTTTTAGTGCGTGCCGCACACGTAGTACTCAGTTCCTACATTATTCGTTTAATTTTTAAAAAGACCAAACTTGGAGCACTATTGTTGCTTAAATTAGACATCAGTCATCATCTTTAACGCTTCGATACAATTCTATGGATGCTGTTGTAAAAACAACTGTTTGATTTTCTTTTATATAGTTTATGGAGATTATTGCCGTAATAACTTTTGACTTTATACATGCCGTAAACTTAATGATCCTAATAAAATGCACTGTATGTTAGTTTTTTCAACCATAAAATAAATGTTGATACAAAAACATGCAGATTGTTTGAATAAATATGAATGAACTCGGTCGACTGACAACTTTATCGATTTTGGGTTTTCTTTTGTATGACAACACAAACTACCTACCTGTTTTCTTTTGTATCCTTATTAAAGCTCGAATTATGTATATAGGTAGGTATGCGTTATATTAGACAATCGGCATTATGCGAGAATACATTTGTATTTTATTTACCTACTTTAATGGACTTCGAAAAAGAAACACTGCTATCGATACGGAATACAAATTCATGAATTTTGCGTTTGACGGAGTCTACTATATAGGAATATCGGCAGACTCGTTAGAGCAATTTCAAAGACAAATAATGTTTATTGTGGAAGAGGAAGATAATCAGTTTATTTACAAGAGCCCTGCTTGTAATTTTTATTTATTTTGCATACTATAGATACTAATTACTAGTCCTCTACTCGGCCACCTTGTTCGGGCGAGTAGGAAATGTACAGTATAGGCGGATGCATAAGTTAAAGTTCAGGATAATCAAAATTGTATTACTAGTTACACCATGGCTCTCGAAACATACACTTAATTCGGCTCAAAAAGTTAACATCAAATTATAACTAAAAAAAATAACAAATTGTAGGAAAATGTTCCAGAAGGGAAGCTGAGGAATAAAATCCTTGTGGCATGGATAAATTTGAAAATCATCCGCATGCATAATAAAATCCTTATCGCCTATTAGATCTATCGGTATGTTGGAATGAATTTAGATGTTTTAGTGCTAGTCATGTAGGCACAGTTGGGCATTATTTAGAAAAATGTTTTATTGATTGCATATAATTTTACATAATTTGTTACATTTTATAGTGTAAGTCACACGCAGTAATTGCTATTTACTTGAAATACACACCTTAGTGTCATACAGACGGTTTGTATTAATATTAATATGCTTAAAAAACACAATTAAATAATAAAATTGTAAATTCCATTTTATGTAAAATAGGTATAGAAATCGCTATATTATTAGAACTGTACAGCTATAGTGTACTAATTACTGCCTATTATAGTCGTGTACATTATTTTTGTTCCAAAGCCGATTTTATTGAAATGTCAAATGTGTGCATTTGACAACAATAAATCAAATTTCAACTGTGGTTGAAATTTGATTTATTAAAATGTATGGACGATTAAGTATAAGACGATGAGTTGTGGACGATAAGTTAAAATGTATGGATGAGTTTCATTCAAATACAACAGGTTAAAAAACAATATGCACCCAACGTTATGTGTAATATCACCAAAAAGTGTTTAAGAAAACCCCTAGTGTGAAAAAATTACAGGAAACCCAATGTGTTTTTTCTTGTAACCTATTGTAACTTTTTTTGGTACCTATATAATTGTTGGGCGCGAGTATTTAAATTTGTCCCTATAATATTCTAAAATAAGTCCCTTATATCTATATCTATCTTAAGATTGAGTCGTAGAAAATCAAATAATATTTTTCAATTTACTTTTGTGATGGTCTGTATTGTATACGATTAAAGAAATGGAGGTAGTGATGACACCACAATCAAGAAAACTCTTCAATTCGAATCAGTGGATAGCAAACTTTTTACTGATAAATTGAGTAAAAAATACTTTCCTATACTTGATTTATTGTCTTATACTATTTAAAATAATCAAATACCTATATTTTTTTCGGTTTGATTTATCCACAGTTATTTAGTGTTTTATTCGACTATATATTGCTATTATACTGCTACTTAGTATCTAAATTATTGATATAAATTGCGGACTGAAGTTTTGTAAACGTTAATGCATACACGAATGGTATACAGAGCATTTCAGTCATTCATTTATACTAACATTCGTCCTTCTAAACTTGTGCCCATTGTCACCTAATGCTGATACGTGTGTCAACTTGAACTTTTACAAAGTGTATAAATTACAAAGCACTTTTATATACATATTTATGACGCTGAATTGTTCTACTCACTCAATGTTAATTACTGGTATTGTGTGTATACCTACACCTGTGAAATACAAACTAACTAAACTTATGTACGATTATGTTTTAAGCACCATTACACAGCGTGTTAGGTCGGTAGAGGTTTGCGTTCCCTAAAATCCACAGTTGTACAAATAACAAGTGCGATACAGTGAACTTAAATAGTCCACTAGTCGACTTTCCATAAATAGTCGATTTTGTTCGTGAAGTGGTGGCGTATGTGATTTTTGTTCAACTAAAGATTTTACAGTATTTCAGAGCATATACAATGATTTTTTGAACATTTTAATTCCAATTGTTAGGGCATAGGTATTAGCCATCTTATTACAATCTAAGTGCGATGGGATCATTTTGTAAATGCATTGCACGACAGCCGTTAATAGTGCGACGACTTGTATGTATCGGTGTGATAATTTTTTTATGTTTGGTGGTTTTAAGGATTTTTCACCAAACTCAAAGCTATGAAGTATGTATTTTAAAACATTTAATAAATTATTCGCTTGTTTATAATTTATGAGTTACAAATCTCGCGGTTTATTTAATAACTTTAATTAATGATAGTTATAAAATATATAAGTGTGACGGACGTACGGCGTTGTTGAAGTTGAGATAGATAAAAAAGAAGTGGTGTATGTTATGAATGTAATGTTATCATTTATCATGAATGTAGTATTTATCAATAGCGGATGACCCATGCATTCCCACTTCCTTAATCTATCAAAAATAAAACTTTCCAGAAAAAATCTTTCCGAAAACTGTTTGGATAGGATAAGAAACAATAGATACATTTCAGCCGTAACGCGTTCCTAATCCTTGTTTAGCCCAAGGATTAGCTTCAATAGCAACGTTAGTGTTATGTATAATTAAACATTGCGAAATATTAATTAAATGTTAAGATCATTATTTACTGAAAAATCTAATTTTCATGCTAAATTAAAAACTTGTGTTGTTTCTAGGTCACTTTCAAAAATCCCTGGAGATTAAATGGTTCGATTTGCTTAGTAAATTAACAGATTTTTATTATTCATTCATTACAATTTTTAATTGACATTTGCAGAAGACGTCATGAACAGACTTCGGGCAAAAAGTACAAGTAAGCGTTTGGTATGGCCAGAAGAACTGCCTTACGGCGACAGGATAATAGAACAAATTTTGTACGTGCCGGATACCTACAAAAAAGAAACAGCAAAACTAAAAACTATTTTGCTCTATAATGGAATTGGCAGTGATTGGGAGATACCTAGACTTGATCAAGGAGAGTTCTTAGATTGTCCAGTGAGCAGATGCTCACTTACTGTTGACAAATCTTTGGCGCCAACAGCTGATGCTATACTATTCAGACATAGTTACGAGCGACCTCAACATAAAAGGAATCCAAATCAAGTTAGTAAGTTTACTAGCGTTCTGTAAAAAAACAAATTGGCTTTATTTCTATTTCCAAGAACCATTCATCAGTTATTTATTATTTTACGAGGACATCTAATGCAATTTATAAATTTACACAGTACGAGTAAATTGTACACACAACTATTAATACTTAATGTTAGCTTTGGAAGTCTTGTTCGTGACCTCGAACAGCAATCATTTGAATGTTAATACACACAACTCATATTTTTTTTTAAAAAAAAAGCTTCTATCACACCCGTGCATTTGTCATCAATTTTTACTCTTCAAAAACTAACAATTACCGGGCATTACTATCTACCGGCAAGGTATTATCATGAGCGATTATGAGGATTTATGGTTGTTTTTTATTTTACTTTTTTTCAGATTTGGATTATTTATTATACCGAAGCACCGTACTCGAACACAGTAATCCCGGACACCGATCGAGACATGTTTAACTGGACGGCCGTTTACCGGATGGACAGCGACATACCGAATCCTTACGCGTACTGGTACAAGTACGACGAACGGGAGATGCAAAGGCTGTCCCCGTCGCCTTCTACGAGGAACTTCGCTCAGGGGAAAACCAGACAGGTCGCTTGGTTCGTCTCGAACTGCAATGCAAACAGCGATCGATTAGAATACGCCAACGAGTTGGCCAAGTACATACCGGTCGACATTTTTGGTGAATGTGGTCCGTTGATATGTCCCAGATCAGAGGCAGACCTATGTGCTACCATGTTGCAAAAATCTTATAAGTTTTACTTGGCTTTCGAGAATTCACGCTGTTCGTACTACATTACCGAAAAGTTGTTCGCGTTGTCTTTCTAGTGAGCGCATATTCTAGTAGTTTTATTTGTAACTATGCACAGAATACACCAATTATTTACACACAGTGACCCTTCTCTGCTTTTATATTCTATTCTGTGGTTTTACTTTCTAGCCACGACGTGCTCCCCGTTGTTCTGGGAGCGCCCAAAAAGCACTACGAGTTGGTGGCGCCCAAACATTCGTTCATACACGTCGACGACTTCGAATCACCTCAACGATTGGCCGCTTATCTACACGAATTGGACCGAAACGACACCCTGTACAACGAATACTTCAAATGGCAAGGCACCGGGGAAGTGATTTCCGGCGTAACTAATACAATGTTTTACTGTCGTCTTTGCACCATGTTACACGACGAAAACCATCCGCCAAAGCATTACTCCGACATCAACGAGTGGTGGAGAGGACCGGGCGTTTGTCTTCCCTAAAATATTGTACGATTAAGACTTAACGGAGGGCGACAAATTAAAAAAAAAAAAAAAGTTAAATATTTTGCTCTATAACTTTCAATTAAATCATCGCATCGTAGAGCAAAACTAACGGCTGAGTGGAAAAAGAATAAAATTCCAAAAATACGAAAAATAGAGATATGTGAGATAGTCATTTTGTAGCTGTAAGGTAGACTCATATTTTTGGCGTATAAAGGATAATATTTTATATTCTATTGAAACTTATTTTATAAATTAAGGCAGGAATTATATAATTCCTATATAAATTATATAGAGGATTTAAACAGTTTTATTTAATTTTCAGAAATTGGGTGTTGAGGAATATTATTCCTTTTCCACTCAGCTGTTCAAATAGCGTATAGGTAGTATTTAGATACGACATTTTTAATACCCAATCGGTGTAAACTGTACAGATATGGTTTCGGTATCCAGTATCGATCATATAATGACTATTTATTCATTAATTTTTTATCTTAATATGTTTTGTAGCCGTAGTATCATTTCCTTTTGATTGAATAAATTGTATAACATAAAACAATATAACTAAATTTCAACTCATCTTTATCGAAAGTAATTATTAATTTAATTACTGAACATAATTAATAATAAATTACTGAACATTAATTTATTACTGAACTTTGGATCTTGTTCCAAGATCTTGTTATACAGTGCAATCATTGGAAAAATTTCAGGTGGTGTGCATGTAATTAATTATATTATGTAATTAGGCTTGTTTTTGCTACCAAAATTAAAATTCCTTGATAAACCATTTAAGTAGCATCTAGATGGGAATAAATAGACGAAAGGTAGAATTTGTTTAATGTTTAAAAAAAAACCATTTATATTGAGCTGTACATTTAAGTAGTTGGAGTTTATTTTTAATCCGAGTTTATCCGTACTTAGCACACACACACACACATACACACACTTATACCTATATTATGAATGCATACTGACAAAGTTAAACCTTTCCGTTTTACCGTTACGCCATGGCGCTTATGGTCAAACGGCTTTCCATATTCAATAAGGTGTCGAGTCTAATGTCCGTGCAATTGAAATTAAACAACGCCCGGGTGTATTAAAATATTTATATCGTCCGGTTTACCGGAAATACATTTGCATTATACCGGGAAATGATTGTCGTTTCCCAGTTGGGGTTGAGGCCGGTGCGAGTTGTCGACAACAATGCAGATAGCTGATGGATTTGTCGTCACCTGGCATTTCGTCGGAATCAGATTGTACTTGAGAAAATATTTGTCCGTCTGGTGATGTTGCTCGCGGGAATGACGTAAACAGCGTTGTCGTTAATTATATATTCGGACCGGGTGATAAATGATGTCAATTACTTTCGAGTGTCGTCAGAGTCGGCGGCGTGTAATTATACTAGGCGGCTAAGCGGAATTCAACGCGAAGAAAACTGAAACGTTTTAATAACAGGTAATTAGAATGCGCAAGCAACTTGCTTGTATATGCAACTTTACCAACTAGAATACACAGTCCAATGGAAAAATCTTTTGCAATATCAAAAATCCGCAGATAAGAGAGCCGCATAATCACACGTAATTACACATGGTGAGAATTTTTCTCCTCTTCTCCGCATTTCCTGCATGTTGACGATTCTGTCATCTCCATTGTGGGTAATAGTGTTTGGACAAATATCCGTGACCGGTTCATATTTCAACCAACGAACTCATTTGTGACTATTCATTTTCTACGGTTTTCGCTATTCATTTTTATGGTCATATTTTCTTGTAAAACCGTAACATTTATCCGTAATAGTTATCACTGTAGTTATTAAAACTATTGTTGTAATAATAGTGACATGAAAGTTATTGTCGTCTACTTTGAGCTTAAATGATTGGAAATTAATTTTAATTGTCAGCAAAACTTCTTGACAAAGCCTTTTATCCAATATAATGAAACATAAACTTTAAATGTTCCACCGAGACTTTTACCCTTCGTCTTACCCTAAAAAATCCTATTCAAACAAATTTTGATTCAAACCACCAATATTATTGCTGTATTCAATTTAAACTTGAGCACTTAAACTGAGATTTTCATTCAAAGCTTAATATATAAAGAGAAGTGGTTTTGGCACTAGGTTTCATTTTTCAAATGAGTGTTTTAAATAAAATCATATACTCATATACAACATATAAATTACAATATATATACATACTTTACAAAACTATGGTTATAGCATAGATCACTGGTAATGAGAAAGCAGGCTTTAAAACAAATAAAGCTGTAATCTTTTCTTACACAACCAAAATTAACAAACTTTTCAAATTCAACACATTATTTTGTGCTGATATATTTTTTAAAAAAGTTATAATACTTTTTTTATCACCAATATTGCTATAGCATTCATCCTAATGATCATGGAATCTGGTGTTTTTTCTTTTTTATGCTCACTAAAATGTTAAGAAGCTATAGTGCATGGAACATGATATTTAATTTTTAATAAAATAAAGTTTAGGACAGATTAATAACTTAACTCGACATTATCATAATTTTAAATTTGTTTGGGTGTTTAGTATAATTGTATCCCTTCTAACCTTTCTATACTTTATGCATTTATGATTACATACACAGCATTTTAAATAGTATTTAGTATTGTTTTATTAAATGTTACTGCAAGCACAATTTTTAATTAAGTAATATAAAATTAATTACTAGCCTTTATGGCTCTCTGTAAGAGTTTTGGACGTGCTACTTTTTTTTTTAATAATATTATATGAAATGCTATACATTAAAAAAAGGATTAAAATGCCGTTTCACCATTTTAATCTAATTGTGTGCACGAAAAACGATTTGTCTCATCGACCCATAAAACGTTAGTAAATTATATAACTATTGTTTTAAATATTTCACATCACTTATCTTTTACTTTGGAACCATTTTTTCCAGTCTTGCATTTTAACCTTTATTATGTTTACGACTTGTAATTTCTGTTTATTTGTATGGTTTGTCTATGTACAATTATTATTTGTACTTTTGCCCCAAAGAGGCGTCAATATTCAATAAATAAATAATTATACAAGTGCAAGGAATGGGTTTTCTCATGGATACCCCTTTTGAAAACAAGATGTTTGTGAGTGACGGATTGCCATCTCTGTTGATTAACTAAAACTAATTTCGACCGGCCAAGATGAGGAATCTCATAACTTAAGTTTTGAACACAATAATGTTTTACAACGGGCGAGTTAGCTGCTTACGGCTTAAAACGTCTGATAAATAGACAAACACTGCGTTATGATATTGCAGTACGAAGTTTTAAACTTAAGTTTTTTATTTTAATAACGGATTTTTGCCAATCTTTTACAAACGCTAAATAGTGCAAAACATCAAGATGTTTTGTAACATGCTCACGTCATAGTAAGAATTACGATTTTTTTGTCAAAAGCAAAATTCGCAAACGATAAGACGAATAAAACGTTGTTTTACTTTAAATAACATACACAATTTTATTACAAATATCACCGTTTTTTTAAAAATTAATAAATATATTACTGGATTCTTTATAAATCTAGTTTATAATCGTTTCATTCGAAACTTTTTGTATTCTTTGGTATCTTTTTTTTCGTCAACATAACGCGTTTTGAGTAAACAAACAATAATTATAGGTATCGTAGTATTAAAATTAAAAAAATATAACAATAATATCAACAAATAAAAAAAAAACAGTTAACAGAAGAAAAAAGCTCCTTGAGCTAATAACTCATTGGATTAATATAAATTGGTAAACGCTTGTTTCTCACATAGTTGAGGTCTCTCGTTAAGTGTCTTAGCCCATGGGTGTTCGATAATGCCATACTGGATATCTGTTATGGCTTTGAATAGTCTGACGTGTAGAGGGTCCGGTAAATCGGTAGTGGTTAGGTGTATATCCTCTCCCTCGTATAGTATAGATGACACTGGACTGATAACCGCAGCAGTGCCGCTTCCGAACACTTCGAGTAACTGTATTATAGCAATAACGTCATAGTTTAAATTAATTTAATTACATATTGTTATCACGAAATTATTTTTCTAACAATAGTTGATAAATTAATAAGTACCAAAAACAGATAAGAAATAAAAAAAACAAATTTTTAGGCTGATATAGTCGTTGTTGTAATTCAATTTGTAAGTGTTTAAACAAAAATCAGAAGTTTACTACAAGAGTAGTAGAGTTTAATTTGAGTGCCAATATTTTTAAATTTTGGGCTATTTATTGATATTCTCAAAGAGTGTCTAATAAATACGAACAATTTGTTAAAGTTATAGAGTTAACAAAATTGTAAAACTTGTTGCTCGTTTTAATAGAAGTACAATTATCAATTGATAAGCCATACAAAAGAATCTACGGCAACAACATCACGATACTGTTGAATGATGTAACAAAATACCCATGGATCGTGACTAAAGCAGTACAATACATAATAATCAAATAAACTATATTTTTATAATATGATGCACTCGGGGAGATAAACAGCTCATCAGTTTAGGTTTTTGGCATGATTAAAATTATTTTCTTTGAACTGAATAATCATGTTAATGCAATCAATCGGTCGATTATATGAAGTTTATCAGTATCACTATTGAAATGCGTGGAGCTGAATGGTATACGAGAAACATAAGTTAAATTCGTTAAAAACAATTTGGTATTCATGATGTGTGTTTTAGATAAAGGGCTTTACAGATCGTCAATACTATTTGCATCATGTCTAAAGCTGATTGGTTGATAAATTACAATAATTAACATTTGAACGTTCTGTGTATCATTTAAAACTTTTATCTCCGAATAACCTTTATCTTAGATCTAATTAATAAAGAATTTGAATTGTTTTAAACAATCGAAGCCTAATTGAATCGATTGTGTAACAATGGAAGTACAAGCTTTTGTCTCTGGCGTTATATAGTTTCGACTTGACTAATTTACCAGATTGCGAATAAATACGGTTCTTTTAAATTACTTTTTTGTTCTGGTTAAGTTCGATGAGCTCGGCCATTGTGAAATTTCTCTCTTCGACAATGAATTCGTCCCACTGTCGGGTTAAGTCTAAGACGGTCCGTCTGGTGATGCCTGGTAATATGAGTCCGTTCAGTGGCGGCGTACACAATACTTTTTCTGTAAAACCCACGTAAGCCATAGTATATTATTATCGGGTTGGTATTAGAAAAAAAACATTATTCTATACTATAATAAATAATATTATATCTATATCTTTCTGTCTATGAACTAGAACCACCTCTCTTATACGTCATGTTGTGTTACAATTTATTAATTATTTTCTATATTAATTCAATTAGCTCAATAACACTTTTTGGACACTAACAAATACACAAATTGATAAAACACTTTTAGATAATATCGTTTTATTTTACTCTTCCTAGGAATTAGCGTAATCAAGTTTTTTTTCTGCGAGTTGTTAAGACGTTTAAAGTTCTGTATATCTTAGATATTATGTAATATGTATTTATTTTTTTTACTTTCTAGGAAAATTTCATGAATTGACAAGGAGAGTTTAACCTTCTTGCCTTACAGTTTGGCATGAAATTGTGTTTTCCTTACACGGTCATTCATCTCGCTATTCGCCGACACGCTTATATATTAAATCCATAATGTGTGCTTATATTTGACAATAGATAAGGCGAATTTTGTACTACACATGTACCAAGGTATGATACCTACGCTTACTTCAAAACGACGAAGTCTAATGGGGGAAAAAAATATAAAACGGATGTTTTTCTCACCTCCGTTTTGATTTTTGTAGAATATGAACACGTTCATGGTACCGGCCTCGGTGATCTGTCTGTCTTCGCCGAACAACCACAACAACTGATGACAACCGCATTCCAACGCTAATTTCTGAAAATATTGCACAAGTTTCGCGTTGAGTTAGATCTCGTCGGCGGAGGAATCGCCCCACAAGTTAAAAAAAGTTCTGTATTCGTTTAATATATTAATAGTTAGTACCTAATATAACAAGTAACGGCGATCCGACGTGCGCGGATATAACCTTTTAGAGAAACGCGAAGTTCGATCGTTTATCTCTTGAGCAATAACTTTCATAATAAAATATATACACACACACACACACGTACATACACCGACGTTAAAGCAACCCATTGTTGTTGTTCTGTTATCGTCGCCACCGTGGTCGCCTTCATCTACACACAATACCGTTTAGAGTTTTCTTCACATAAAGTTTAGGGCGCTTCCGGGAAACTACCGAATATATATATATATATATATAATTTTCGATTAATTCATTAAGCGAGTATTACAATACACAAATTAATTTAAACCCGTGACGAATATATTCGAGAAACTATACGGAAGACGAAAAGAATAATAATTGAAAGCATCTATTGTTCGGAAACTGTTTTAATAGAATCTCGACTATCTAAGACAATCATTGATGCGCCAGTGTTGTTTTGATCGTTTAATAATAATTTTCTCGCATTACTCATCTTTAGCTCGGACCCGTGTATCTGACATGATTTATATGTGCTGGATAGTCAATATTGATATAGTTCCCTGTTACTATCGAAAGTACAGAATCGTTTCCTGTCACTCGTTAAATAATAATATTGTAATATTTCTATTTTAAATACGTCAATATGACGTGAAAAACAAAACCAAACATTTGCCGATGATCTAATTATAAATAGTTACATTTTTTATTATACTTTCACAAGTTGTAAAACATGCTTATTTGTAGAGTCAATAAAATAAAATAATGTTTGTTATAGCATATTTAGATAGATTGAGAGTGTATCTATATCGGTGTAGTTTTAAAATTTTCTTTATACTAGGTGTTGTAATTTGATGATAATTATAATAAACGTTTTAATATATTTTTGTATTAAATGAATTAATTACCATGTATACCATGTATACCATGTATACAATTATTTTTATTAAGCGATAGATAATAGCGAGTTTGATAAACCTAGTTGTTCGAACATGCGTTATCGTCGTATTATGCACATATTTTCAACGGGAATATATTTTATCGGTAATATGCTATTATAATAAAAAGTTGTTTTTCGATTTTTTTATTAACAAGTGGTTCACCTGTGGATACAACGCGGAAGCATAATTAGCACCCATTTTCTTGTCGCCACTGCCTCCCGGCCAGGCTCTGATAAAGTTGGGATTGGCCATCAGTCGCACGGACTTGAATTTACTGGAGAAGTATGGACCAACCGTGCACATGATCACGTACAGCAAAGCTTTTTCCGTCACTCCGACCCCGAGGGTGCCCTGTCGATAGACACACGAAATAATATCACATCTAAATGATCCAAACGGTCTAAACGCATCTTTACTCACGTCGGTGCCGACCAGGTTAGGCCTAATGTACAAACTGAGTGGTGCGGAAATGGGGAGCCACTCGTTATCGATCATTATTAGCCGTTCGATGTACTTAAGCAACACGTCGGCGTCGATTTGTGGTAGACCGGCTCGTTGGGCCGACGAATTAAGCCGCTCGAGGTTCAGTTCCGGCCTAAACAAGGTCATGTGTCCCCGAACCGATCTGTAAGCTTTCATGCCTTCAAACACCTAGTTGAAAAAAAAAAACTAACGTCAAAGATTGAGTTACATAATTTGTAAGAAAAGGCTACCCCTTCAAAAAAAAAAAAAGGGATATTATATTATAACACAAATTTCACGTAATACTAGTGTATATTATTATTATTAAACACTTCTTAATAAATTAAAAAACATTGACACTTTTACTTTATTAATGGAAAACAATATTATGATATTCATGTCGGTGTTCCGAGTAAATTTTCACCTATACTGACGTTAGGTTCAACATACGCCATCGCGAGTGATAGACAAAAACGATTTAAAACATAAAACAATGATTGTATTATTAACTAGAGTTTGAACGTGCCAAAAAAATTGTTTTTTTCTATCCTCATTAATACTCTTAGTAACGGACGAATCTAAAGGATTGTTTTAAGAGTGTTGCGAGCATGTTACAACTGTTTTAATTTATGACGAAAACAGAAAACTCGAGTAGTGTATCATTTTTATAGTCACAACTCACATGGTATACCTGTTACAGTTGTATTTTAATAGTATTATCTATAATTTATTCGAAGCGTATAGTCGGGCAATGACCTATGAACTATTTACCTATACTAAAATAGTACGTTTTCACAGTCATAGAAACTATACAAAGGCTAGTACAATACTATAATACATTTTACATGATTTCTAAATAAAATATGTGTTACGAGGGAATAATGTTAACGAGTATAATGCCATTATGATGCATACACTGTAAGCCGATTGTAAACATGAAGCGTCTCAGTAATAGTGTAATAGACGTTTTAAAAATAGCTTACATTTTAATTGTACATTAAATTCGTGTACAATCATAATTTATGTTGAAATCGCCGACAAAGTTATATCCTACTTAAAGTTATTTTACTGTATATAAGGAAATATTGTAATGTGTACGTCAATTCAATAGATAATCTATTATTTTCTACAAAAACATAGAACCTACATGATAAAGATGACCTAGTTTCTGAAGTGATAAATATGAGGAATTTTATTAACGAACTTGCAAATGTATAAATCTGCAAATATAATATTAATTAGTATTTCTTGTATTTTTTATTTGTATTAATTTATAATTAGTAATAATGGGTTAGAAAATGGGTTTTTTTTTTACAAAATCATATTTAACCATCGATATTAACTTATAGTTGGGTACGTCAGAGGTATTTCTTTATTACTTATTAATGTAAAATATTTCTTAAAAAAATGTTGTTTAATTCATCAAATGTTTCATACCTCGTTGAGTATGACCGTTAACTGTTGTAATATGAAATATCAACATAATAACTCAGAGTAATCCGTTTAACATAAGACTCACCAGATATCTCAAAAAATGCAGTTTTTTAGTTTTTCTTAATGAAGTAATACTTGTTTATGTTATTTTATAACATTACAAAATATATAAATATTCATCTATTTGTTCATAGTATTTTTCAGAGCTCTATCAACTTTAAACTTAAATAATAAAGTGTACAGTCAATTACAGTTATTACCTTTTAAAGTTAAGAATTATTTGCTGAAAATATTAAATGGCCGATAACTAGTTCTGAATAATTATTTCTAAAGTTAAAATTTAGGACGGGAAGTGGAGTGCGGTTGAGTAATGTGCGCTGATAAAAATAATACTACCCTTCCTCCCATTTAAAATTTTAAACTTTAAAAGTATTTAAAAAGTTAATTAAATTAGGCATGTTACCATTTAAATTCCAAAACATGATAGAGTTTTAGTTTGCCAAAAAATATTGAAATTTGAATAATGTAAAATAACATTAACTAAAATGTTTCCAAAAAGAAAATCTACAAAATCAAAAGTATTTTTAGAGAAAACGGGTATGTTACGTTAAATGGATCACGCTGTGTATAGGTACTTATGTACTTGTATTTTTTTTATTTAGACGTCTCATTCTCACCTCAGTAGCGTAATGAAGAACTTTGGCTGCTGGATGAAAGCTAAGGTGTTCCATGGGTGTAATGTATGGTTTTTGCCAGCCACCGGCATGTTTATCGTAGGATATTTTGAGCATGTGGTCTGTAAATATCGTACCGAATTTGATGTTGGCTCCGCTTTTTATGATGTTGATGCCGTTTTCTTTCAACTTTGATGATTTAGACAACGTGATATCGATTTCAGATTCGTACCATTGTGTCTAAAATTAAGAACTGTTTAGCAAACACAATCTTGATGGCTTTTTAAACTTAGAATCAACACGTTTTAAGGGGTTCACACTTACTCTCATTTTTAATTTTTTTCTACGTAACCTGTATATTTAATGAAATAAATGTGGGTCGTTAGGGACTTGGCACGTTTAAAACTAATAATAATAATGCGAGCTTTGTGATTCTATTGTGTTCTGGGCTCTTACCAGAAAACAATGACGTGGTTTGTCGCAACAAACCTGTGATTGATGACATTAATGTAAAAAAATCATGTCCGTAGACCGACCTACCTTATCCGAATCTCTATGCGATACAGATGACTGATTCCTTTTAGACAAGAGATGTTGAATACTCAACACTTTTCTGCATGTCTGAAAGGCAAATACAAACACAACATTTATTTTATTTCATCCGATTTTAACCCTCCTAATGATATTTATTTAAATATTAAAATAATATGAAACAAGTACCCTTTTACTATAATTAAAACAACTCGATATCACTGTAAATACTTTAGTAGTTCTGATGTTCTTTGGAACCTCTTATTCTAGTATAAAATTAATCGTATATCATTTTTCTTTTTCCATTAAAACGTTTTTGGTTTGTACAAAAAAGGTTATTGATTCACTGTTGCGCAGTTTATATCAGACGGGTTTAAATTGCAGTTAAGGAACTCAAGACAAATGTACTTCATTATTTTAACAGCTAAAATTGTATTATGAAATTTTATGAATGAACACTTGCGTCGAGTTTTACGAAACGCGACGTCAATGTTATGATTTTTGTTTAGACAACTATTTTTCAAAACGTTCAAAACTTATTAGGTAAAGGGTCAAAGTGATTCGGGAATCCAATTTCTCAACTACATTTGAGTTTTGTTTAGGTAAACGAAACACGGACAATTTAACTCACCTTTTTTTGTCTGAGGAGCCTTTGTGTAAGCGAAAGAAGTGAATCGACGCACGCCATTTTAAAAACACTCAAATTATTGCAACAAAAATAGTCATGCGCACTTCGTTGTTTGAAATTAAAAAAAGTATGTCTGAGTTTGCACTTGAATAAAACGAACACAAGGGTTCCAAAAGTAAATTTTGCTTCTCGGGTTATTTTTCCGTCCCTTATATAATATTATTGGCAAAATATCGGTGGGGAAAAATAATAATATGGCAGGCTTGAGTTGTGAACGGACACTGAAGAAAAACTGCTCAGAACCGATTCAAATAAACAAGTTGGTTATTATTAGTATGCTTGTGGCCTTATCACGTATGATACAGTTAATTATAAATTATCATCCGCGCATAGTATAGTAGTAATGTTGATCGTGTACTCGGTTAGACGTAGAACTCAGCATGAAGAGAAGAAGTGGTGATTACGCCGCTGTATTTTTGTGTTGTAAGATAACAATAATAATTTAGAACGTCTGTACAAATTTCCTGATCGTGACGGGTCACTATAGAAGTCCTAGAAAATCAGTCGAATGTATGTAAACGTAAATACAAATCTTATACGTATGTGTTTTTCATGTAGTATACCTACGTCTCTTTTTTAAAAGATAACTTTGGATTTCGATTGTTTTTTATTACTCGGCTATAATTAGGATATTATAATTTGATTGTTTACTTGCAGACCGTCTTTTTGACAAGACACGCCCTGTGTTGTATCCAGTAGTCGTGTGCCAGTCGTGTGTTTAGTTGTGCTAGAATTTTATTTTATGACTTACTCGTTCATGAGTTTACGTTTAGTGATCGAATTTGACCTGGCCGCTTGGGTATAAATGATGTCTTGCTATAAAAAAATGTCTTGAGAACATAATTTTATGTTAAAACCATTTTCAAAAGTTGATAATTATTCGTGGAGTCGTGTTTTTATTAGTTAATGTTATAAAATATTGTTTTAGTTATAAATTTCCTAAACACTATTATAGGAAACCTGGTAACTCCTCGATTTACAAAAAAAAAATTTTTACTGCTCTTTTTTGAAATATCTAGATTAATCAAATTATTTTCAATACATCTGGTTTGCATTTATTAGATAACCTAAGAAAGACTGCTATATATAGTGTGAATCTATTATATTGTTTGTATCACACATGGGACATGCACAATGCGAGTGATCTAAAGAAGGTCAAAATATTTTTTATTGAAAACGTATCTGTGTAACGTGTTTTATATTGAAAATTATTTATGATTATTAGTAGAAAAGACAAACACATATTAAATTTTAGCACAAACCCGATTAATTTTAATTTTAATTTTTATAATAGAATTCTAATGAGGTATAATTTAATTTATGTTTGTACATCATTAGTACAGATTAAAATTTAAATGCTATGTAAAACGGCAGTTAATAATATATTTTCTAATATCACTCAAAAATATCTTTAATCAATATTAATAATTACCATCTGTCCTCTACTAAATGTCATAAATTTTATCTTTTCATATTTATAATCTTATTAATTAAAAATAAATGCGATGATAATATTTTAATAAAAGTTATTGAAATTAATAATTTATAATATTTATTTACTTTGCTTTATTTAAATACTTATTGAAGAATACTGGGCCCCACAATAAGTACACGTGTGGGTAGCATTACCATTATTATACAAGAGCTTACCATTCATGATAATAAAGCGAATAGCGAATTATTATAAATATAATATACAAATGAAAATAATTACTTAGTTGGCTTGATAAAAAAGCTGATATCGTAATCATTTTTTTCAGTTTTATCAAGATTACAAAACTGGCAAAAGAATAATACAATAATAATAAATGAATTAATATACCAATCGTATAGTTCGATTTTGATTTTTACCTTTTTCGTGGTTAATTGATAATTCTGCGTATGACGCTGTATGTATGTATAATACATATCCACATTAATTTATGATATTTAATTATAGTAGCAAAGGTTTTGTTCCTATTAATTACAATAATCACGTTTATGATAACCTGTTGTTAAAAAAAATACATGCATACTAATTCATTGTTTTTGTATAGTATTTATCTTAACAGAAAATGCAAGAGTTCAATTATTACACGGTTATTACATTATTCCTGAAACCGATTTTATAATTCTTTAAAAATTAAATTAACCTCCTTATAAGTATCTACGTTTAAATTATACAAAACCTTTAAAACGCGTGCAAGTACAATAATTTTGACTCAGCTGTTTTACATTTTCTATAACCATTATTTTGAATCAAATACAAGATTTTTTTTTTAGTTTTGTTTAAAATATCAAATTTGCCATTTCACCACTCGTTATTTTCAATTAGGTAATACCTTCCCTAAAAAATGTTCATTATTTCTCTTTTTAGGCGCAAACTTGAGAGGACGCCAACCATATCACCAATTTATCAAGGAGTAAAGTATAGGCAATTTTGTATATAACTACAAATTGAATTAGCAACTATATAAGAGAGCGCATTTGTTTTATACATATAATTAGTATTTATCATGTTTAAAGTTTTTCTAAAAATATCGACTGGTTGAAAACCAATTTTGAGCTGGGATTTAGAATTAATAGCTTTGAAACTTTTGTTATTTTATTTGTTCCGGAAAAGTACATCCGGAAATATATTGTTTATCATAAATATATAAATAAAACATTGGTAATTATTATTATTCCGGAGAAAAAGACGATGAAGGAGATAATTAATTGTTAAATATCTTAAAACCAGGGTATACATTCGCTTACCTAAAATTCCATATTGTAGTATTTTCGTCTGCATCTTATTAGCCAAATGTTTGTCTAATATAATGCATTTATTACATAATTCATTTGAGAAAAAAATTATTAATTAAATTAATTAATTATAAATTTGATTTTCGATAAGAAGCTACATCACTGTAAACCTCTGTGAACGTAAAGTGGCTGCGTTTGGTCAATGAATAACAAAAACATTATTGTATTCTCTCTAATATCAGTTAGTGATACCACGTTCAACCGATATCGCTTATCATTTACTATAAATATTATTTTGTTTATCATTATTAGCTATGTATCGTAACTAATCATACATTTGTCTAATAGTATTATTACCAAACTAGAATATTGACTATAATCCTAACTGTGTAACAGTGGTTCAGAAAGCAACATAAAATTTAAATGCTGAAAAAGAGTTGAACAACACAATGATAAAAAACAATGACTATAGTATAAAACGCATAAATAAAAGTAGTGAAACGATAAGGGATGGTGGTTTACATGTTTAAATTGTGACAGTAAAAAAAGGATATAATATGAGTAAAAAAACTATAGGTTGTAGTCAGGGTCACAACCGTGGATATTTACGTGAGTACGTCTTGCTGTTGTTTTTCGAAGAATTATCAATTAATTAAAAAAACCGCACGTAATTCGAGCCAATAGTTTTCAGAGATTAAACGGGTACTGTTATTATGCCTTTGTAATCTAAAACCACATAACTGTATCAAAAGTAATAAATATTAATAAATGTTTTAATACCGGAATAGATAATAATAATTGCCTGTTTGTTTACTAAAACATTGATATTTTATGGATCTAAAAACAATCCCATATACCGTTTAGTATTTTACAACTAAGAAGTTTACCGAGTCTAAAAACCAAACTTCCTATTGTTCGGCTACTAAAGCTAAAATTATCTAGACTTTAACCAATTGTAAACAACTATGCATTTGTGGTTTAATAATTTGTGCCTTATATTATATATGATACAGTAAGGGACAAGGGCGTTCTAAAAAAAGACTGTATAGAACAGCTAAATAAGAAAAAATAATAATTATGCATCGTTAGATTGTACGAGTATAATGTTTATTATTCGTTGCTTTTAAGTAAAATAAGTATTTGTAATAAAATATGTATATCACATTTGTAGTACCGTATATAACTTTAATGGGTATGAAAGGAAGTTTCACCACATGTGGTGTTGGATTCCAAATTAATCAATGCGTTTTGTAAGTTTATAAAACAAATCTTTGATTTCAGAAAGGTTATGGAAATAGGTCCTTAAAAATACTTTTTATGATCAATTCAATGGGTTTGGTTAATATAATATACCAACAATACTTTATTATTCTGCAGTTAAGGTTTATGATAATTAATAATATATTTTGAATAAAATGTACTCAACATTTTTGTTCATATGTTGTTACAATAAATAAATTATAATGCAAATCTACCATTTAGAAATATAATTATTTATTCTATCTAAAATTATGTTGCTGAATAATTTAAAACATGATCCGTTTCTTATTTTCAACTCCGTTGATTTTAATAATAATTTTTTTTATTTTAAGATTCGAATAAAGATTTGATTTCTATTAAAATAATACATTACATTATTGAAATTGTGTATAAAAAAATAAGCATCAGAACTTAATATGAATAAAATCCCAAATAGAAAATCTTTTTGTTCAAATCAAGATAAAATAAGAAGATATAAATGTAGTTATAATTTTGCGTTGATTGAGGTAGTATGTTGAGGTGTTACTTTATATTAACAGTATATTAGAAGTATAATACATTTTCCATATTCATTATCCGTCTTTCTTTATTTTTAAACCAAAAAGATTTAGATTATATTAGTAAAACGCGTCATAACGTCTTGAACTTATCATATTATTAGAGATAAGACATAAGTACAATTTTTTTATACCCTAGGTCATTAACGTTATTCTATTTTTGTGAATTTTATTTTTATGACATAAAAAACATATTTTTAATATAGGTAGGTACTGTTGTTTATAAGACGGACGTCAAGAAAACATATATATTTTGCTTAAAACAATATAAGTAACTTATTTAAATAGTATAATTTAAAACATGAAATAATCTTGCAAAAGTCAAGGGAAGTGGGCCAGAGGTTAGGATTGAATAAAACAATACAATTATTATTATTGGAACATTATACATTTTACAAAGGAGAAGTGGCCGAGTGCGTAAGGCGGCAGGTCTGAAATTACATTAAATTATTACATTTTTTAAAAATATTTAAATGCAAATAATGTAATTTATAGTTCCATAATTAAATTATTCTTATTCACGTTTGAACGTCTGTATTTATTAAAATTTTAAAATTCATTAAAAACATTAACCAAATTTAAAATTAAAAGTAGGTTTTGCTTTGCGATTTATTTTTTAGAGAATAAATATGTACAATTAAAAAATTATAGGAAGTACATAATACTACTTCTATAGTTATTAGTTACTATTAATTTTTGTTTATTTTGAAAAAAAAAAAAATTAACAAATTCTATAGTTTTACAATATTAGAAACTGGCCACGAAA